TGTTTATCTTTGCAAAAAATCACACTTTTGGTGGATGAGTTCACCCATTTATCTGCAAGAAAACCAGAATTTCAGGAGATTCAGGTGACATCCAGGCTGGTTTGAGGGATAATTTCTTTACCCTGTCCTAGTGAGGGAAAGGATCCTTTTTATCAGATTAGCTGGCACCAGGAGCCTCAGAGGGCTGATGGAGATGAAGCATCACAAGAAGAAAATTGAAAATGACGTTGGCAGACTGCTGATCCCTCAGGTCGGTGTGTCAGCGTGACAGCAGAGCACGGGGCTGGGACAAAAACCAGAAATTACGGGGGGAAAAGGGGGAAAATCGGGGTTTGGAGCAAGATGGGAGAGTGGGAGCGTCCCTGTGGGTAGCAGGGATGAGTTAAGGTCCTTTCCAAGCCAAACCATGCCAGGATTCTGGGATTCTCTGCTGGATGAAGGTCCTGTCCCACATGGAGAATCTCTGTACAAAATCTGAACTGAAACAAAGATTTGCCCAGGAAATAAATCCTCCAGAACCCCATTGAGATCCCACAGCTCACAATGGGGAAAACACCCTCAGAACCCACAGGAAGCAATCTCTGGACAAAATCTGAACTGAAATAAAGATTTGCCCAAGAAATAAATCCTCCAGAACCCCATTCACATCCCACAGCTCACAACAGGGAAAACACCCTCAGAACTCCTCAGTCATGAGAGCGGTGCCAAAAATCCCCACAGCAGCCCCTGCACAGGGAGATTTTCCAAGGAAGTTTCTGACCATCCCACAAATCCCCACAGGCTGAAGGTCCTGTCCCACAGGAAGGAATCTCTGTACAAAATCTGAACTGAAATAAAGATTTGCCCAAGAAATAAATCCTCCAGAACCCCATTGAGATCCCACAGCTTACAGCAGGGAAAACACCCTCAGAACTCCTCAGCCATGAGAGTGGTGCCAAAAATCCCCACAGCAGCCCCTGCACAGGGAGATTTTCCAAGGAAGTTTCTGACCATCCCACAAATCCCCACAGGCTGAAGGTCCTGTCCCACATGGAGCAATCTCTGGACAAAATCTGAACTGAAATAAAGATTTGCCCAAGAAATCAATCCTCCAGAACCCCATTGAGATCCCATTCAGATCCCACAGCTCACAACAGGGAAAACACCCTCAGAACCCACAGGAAGGAATCTCTGTACAAAATCTGAACTGAAATAAAGATTTGCCCAGGAAATAAATCCTCCAGAACCCCATTCAGATCCCACAGCTCACAACAGGGAAAACACCCTCAGAACTCCTCTCAGCCTCAGCTGGAAGTGCTGAAGGAGCTGAATCCTGGCCACAGAGAGGAATAAATTCAACCTTGACTGTTCAGCTCAGGTGCCACTGCCCATCCCAAGCAAGGCTGCAGTGCCACAGGGCAACAGCCCAGCTCCAGAAGCACAAAGAGCAAAAGCTCTGATTCATCCCCAGCCCCGTTTTCTCCACCTCTCCAAATGCAACTCCAGTAACTCCCACAGAACTCCATTTACCAAGCACTTAAGAGTGAGTTTTATGGTTTATTTTCATCCAGGCAGCATTTCCTCTCTGCTCAAGGTAGGTTTGTGACCCACCAGAATCCAGGATTGGCCAGGATGGCACCAGGGAGGAGATTTGGGAGCTGGTGCCATCAGCAAGGCCTTGGCAAACAGCAACAACCTGGCTCAAGGTCCTTTCTCAATGGAGCAATCTCTGTACAAAATCTGAACTGAAATAAAGATTTGCCCAAGGAATAAATCCTCCAGAACCCCATTCAGATCCCAGGCAGATCCCACAGCTCACAGCAGGGAAAACACCCTCAGAACTCCTCTCAGCCATGAGAGCGGTGCCAAAAATCCCCACAGCAGCCCCTGCACAGGGAGATTTTCCAAGGAAGTTTTTGACCATCCCACAAATCCCCACAGCAGGGCTGGGGATGCCATCACCCTCCAGTTTAATCTGTAATTTAAGGGTTTTTCCTTGCTGCCTGCTCTGTGCTCCTGCACAGTCCTGTGCTTTCATCCAGGATTGGCCAGGATGGCACCAGGGAGGAGATTTGGGAGCTGGTGCCATCAGCAAGGCCCTGGCAAACAGCACCAACCTGGCTCAAGGTCCTGTCCCACATTGGACAAAATCTAAACTGAAATAAAGATTTTCCCAAGAAATAAATCCTCCAGAAGCCCATTGAGATCCCATAGAGATCCCACAGCTCACAACAGGGAAAACACCCTCAGAACCCACAGGAAGGAATCTCTGTACAAAATCTGAACTGAAATAAAGATTTGCCCAAGAAATCAATCCTCCAGAACCCCTTTGAGATCCCATTCAGATCCCACAGCTCACAACAGGGAAAACACCCTCAGAACCCACAGGAAGGAATCTCTGTACAAAATCTGAACTGAAATAAAGATTTGCCCAAGAAATAAATCCTCCAGAGCCCCATTCAGATCCCACAGCTCACAGCAGGGAAAACACCCTCAGAACTCCTCAGCCATGAGAGCGGTGCCAAAAATCCCCACAGCAGCCCCTGCACAGGGAGATTTTCCAAGGAAGTTTTTGACCATCCCACAAATCCCCACAGCAGGGCTGGGGATGCCACTGCCAGCATCTCCCTCCAGTTTAATCTGTAATTTAAGGGTTTTTTTCCTTGCTGCCTGCTCTGTGCTCCTGCACAGTCCTGTGCTTTCATCCAGGATTGGCCAGGATGGCACCAGGGAGGAGATTTGGGAGCTGGTGCCATCAGCAAGGCCCTGGCAAACAGCACCAACCTGCCTCAAGGTCCTTTCTCAATGAAACAATCTCTGTACAAAATCTGAACTGAAATAAAAATTTGCCCAAGAAATCAATCCTCCAGAACCCCATAGAGATCCCACAGCTCACAGCAGGGAAAACACCCTCAGAACTCCTCAGCCATGAGAGTGGTGCCAAAAATCCCCACAGCAGCCCCTGCACAGGGAGATTTTCCAAGGAAGTTTCTGACCATCCCACAAATCCCCACAGGCTGAAGGTCCTGTCCCACATGGAGCAATCTCTGTACAAAATCTGAACTGAAATAAAGATTTGCCCAAGAAAGAAATCCTCCAGAACCCCATTGAGATCCCACAGCCCACAGCAGGGAAAACACCCTCAGAACCCACAGGAAGGAATCTCTGGACAAAATCTGAACTGAAATAAAGATTTGCCCAAGAAATAAATCCTCCAGAGCCCCATTGAGATCCCACAGCTCACAGCAGGGAAAACACCCTCAGAACTCCTCTCAGCCTCTGCTGGAAGTGCTGAAGGAGCTGAATCCTGGCCACAGAGAGGAATAAATTCAACCTTGACTGTTCAGCTCAGGTGCCACTGCCCATCCCAAGCAAGGCTGCAGTGCCACAGGGCAACAGCCCCGCTCCAGGAGCACAAAGAGCAAAAGCTCTGATTCATCCCCAGCCCCGTTTTCTCCACCTCTCCAAATGCAACTCCAGTAACTCCCACAGAACTGCATTTACCAAGCACTTAGAGTGAGGTTTATGTTAAAAATATGAACCTTGATTCATCTGCTGAGGAACCCACACGCTGCCAGGGCAGGGTTTCTGTCCCCCTGCTCTGACTCCACCGAGTCACTTTGCCTTTAAAATCGCTGGGGCAGAAATAATTCCCTTTTTATCTGCCCAGCAAAGGCCAGGCAGCTTGAAAAATTATTTTAGGCCCAATAAAATCAGCTAAGACACCTGCAGCAGGAGGAAAAAAAAAAAATATATAAAATATGGACTTCCCACACCATGAATCACAGCAATAATCAGAATGGACCACCCTCCTTCCCTGAGGAGCTGTGTCCTTCAGAAACTCTTTGCCCAACTCGTTTTTTATTTTATCTCGATAAAAAACCCACTTGGAAAGAGCAGCAGGGTGGTTTTTGTTTGCTCTTTGAGCGACGACAAGTGGGAGGAACAAAAAAAAAAAAAACCCCAAAAAAAAAGCAAATAAAAGGAGCTGAAGTGTTTGGTGCCCTCCAGAGGAAAAAGGGAATTAAGTCGCAGCTTTGAGGTACAAAGGGCTGGTTTTAAAATAATTTCTGCTGGAAATTAGGGTTCTAAAATCACTTTAGCTCTAAAATAATTTCTCTTGGAGGTGGCAGCTCTAAAATCGCTTTTCTTGAGCTGGGTAACACCACAAATCAAAACCCACAGCAGCACAGCCAAGGGACGCTCACTTATTTATCAACTCCAAAACAACCAAACCTCTATTTTAATTTTCTTTTTTTTTTGGTATCAAGCATTGAAAATTCAGAATTTCCTGGCCAGGATCAGGATCAGGCTGTGAGAATTGGAGAATTGGAGAGGCCAGGAGGTGTTTTGGGGCTGGAAGGGGCCGGGAGCTCTGACGCTCTCGGGGCTGAGTCATCCCTGACGTCCCAGCTCCCCCTCCCCAGCTGCAGGCAACAAAAAAATCAAAAATAAATCAAGAATCAATCAAGAATCAATCAAAAATCAATCAGGAATCAATCAAGAATCAATCCCGTGGCCCTGGTGTTCGTCACAACCCCAAATCAGGGTGGTGAAGCGTGACAGAGCTGCCTGGAATGGTAAAAAATCCGAAAAATTTGGATTTTCCTGCACTTCCAGGGGTGCTGCTCTGCAGAGCTGGGAATATTCAGTGCTCAAAACCAACATCTTTGGAAAAAAAATAGGGTTTTCCTCATTGTTTTCAAAGAATAAATCATTTCAGCTGGGAATTATTGCTGACCTGACAGCTTCTGCCACATTGTTGGGTCTGCCTGGTGCTGCTCTGCAGAGCTGGGAATATTCAGTGCTCAAAAACCAAAAAAAAAACCCCAAAAAATAAGATTTTCCTCATTGTTTTCACAGAATAAACAATTTCAACTGGGAGTAATTGCTCACCTGACAGCCTCTGCTTTGTTGTTGGAATATTCAGTGCCGAAAAACCACAGAGTTTCCAAAAAAAAACCTGATTTTCCTCATTGTTTTCAAAGGAGAAATAACAGAAATTGGGAATTGTTGCTGACCTGACAGCTTCTGCCACGTTGTTGGAAGTGTGACCAGACAAGGCATCGTGCAGGTTCCTGATGAAATAATCCCTGTAATCCTCAGGTAAAGCCATGAAAGTTCCCCCCATCACAATAAATTCCACTTTGTCCACGCTGTGGCCCAGCTGCTTCAGCTGAAAAATTAAAAATATCACAGGAGAAATCATCAGCTGGGGATTTATCCCAAAGGTTTCGCTGGAATTCTTGATTTTTTTTAAGTTGTGTTCGATTTTTTTGGTGTTGTTTTATGAGAAATTATTGGGTTTGTATAGGTTTTAATAATGATTTTTTTTTTGTTAAAAAACCCTCAAAAATTATTGTGTTTACTGTAAGAATTCAGTGCAGGTATTGTAGAGAGTTTTCCTGAAAAAACAGAATTATTTCAGTTGCAGGTTACCTAAATGGAGGCAAAAAGGCAAAAAATTCTTTGAATTTCCTTGAATCCATGTAGAATTTCCTTTAATCCTTAAAATTTCCTTTAATCCTGAGGGAGAAAGTTCTGAATTCATGGAGAATTTTCCAATGGATTTGGAGATAAAGAAAAAACTGATCAAAGCAGATGTAAATTTAACTCTAGAAATTTAAATTTTAATTTTTTTAATTTTTTAATTTTTAAAAATTTTTTAATTTTTAAATTTTTTTTAATTTCTGCTTTGAATTTCCTTTCATCCATGTAAAATTTCTTTTAATCCTTAAAATTTCCTTTAATCCTCAAAATCCTGAGGGAGAAAGTTCTGAATTCATGGAGAATTTTCCACTGGATTTGGAGATAAAGAAAACACTGATCAAAACAGATTTAAATTTAACTCTAGAAATTTAATTTTTAATTTTTTTAAAATTTTTTAATTTTTAAAATTTTTTAATTTCTGCTTTGAATTTCCTTTAATCCTTAAAATTTCCTTTAATCCTGAGGGAGAAAATTCTGAATTCATGGAGAATTTTCCAATGGATTTAGAGATAAAGAAAAAACTGATCAAAGCAGATTTAAATTTAACTCTAGAAATTGAATTTTTAATTTTTTAAAATTTTTTAGTTTCTAAAAATTTTTTAATTTTTTAAATTTTTTAATTTCTGCTTTGAATTTCCTTTCATCCATGTAAAATTTCTTTTAATCCTTAAAATTTCCTTTAATCCTCAAAATCCTGAGGGAGAAAGTTCTGAATTCATGGAGAATTTTCCACTGGATTTGGAGATAAAGAAAGAACTGATCAAAGCAGACCAGGATTGAGAAACTTTTCACACCCAACTCTCCAAAAACACCGAAATTATTAAAAATTATTATTAAAAATCAGGTAGAGACCTTAGGAGAGGTTCAAAATTCACCATTTCTTTCATGGAAATGAGAGTTGGACCATTGAAAATGGATAAATTTAACTCTAGAAATTGAATTTTTAAATTTTTTAAAAATTTTAAAATTTTTAAATTTTTTTAAATTTTTTAATTTCTGCTTTGAATTTCCTTGAATCCATGTAGAATTTCCTTTCATCCTCAAAATCCTGAGGGAGAAAGTTCTGAATTCATGGAGAATTTTCCACTGGGTTTGGAGATAAAGAAAGAACTGATCAAAGCAGATTTAAATTTAACTCTAGAAATTGAATTTTTAATTTTTAAAAATTTTTTAACTTTTTAAAAATTTTTTAATTTTTTAAATGTTTTTTAATTTTTAAAAATTTTTTAATTCCTGCTTTGAATTTCCTTGAATCCATGTAGAATTTCCTTTAATCCTCAAAATCCTGAGGGAGAAAGTTCTGAATTCATGGAGAATTTTCCACTGGATTTGGAGAAAAAGAAAGAACTGATCAAAGCAGATTTAAATTTAACTCTAGAAATTGAATTTTTAATTTTTTAAAATTTTTAAATTTTTCAAATTTTTTAAATTTTTTAAATTTCTGCTTTGAATTTCCTTTAATCCTGAGGGAGAAAGTTCTGAATTCATGGAGAATTTTCCAATGGATTTGGAGATAAAGAAAGAACTGATCAAAACAGACCAGGATTGAGAAACTTTTCACACCCAACTCTCCAAAAACACTGAAATTATTAAAAATTATTATTAAAAATCAGGTAGAGACCTTAGGAGAGGTTCAAAATTCACCATTTCTTTCATGGAAATGAGAGTTGGACCATTGAAAATGGATAAATTTAACTCTAGAAATGGAATTTTTAATTTTTGAAAATTTTTAAATTTTTAAAAATTTTTAAATTTTTAATTTTTTAAATTTTTTAATTTTTTAAAATTTTTAAAATTTTTAAAATTTTTTTCATTTCTGCTTTGAATTTCCTTTAATTCTTAACATTTCCTTTAATCCTGAGGGAGAACGTTCTGAATTCATGGAGAATTTTCCACTGGATTTGGAGATAAAGAAAGAACTGATCAAAGCAGATTTAAATTTAACTCTAGAAATTGAATTTTTAATTTTTTAAAATTTTTAAATTTTTAAAATTTTTTAAATTTCTGCTTTCAATTTCCTTTAATCCATGTAGAATTTCCTTTAATCCTTAAAATTTCATTTAATCCTGAGGGAGAAAGTTCTGAATTCATGGAGAATTTTCCAATGGATTTGGAGATAAAGAAAAAACTGATGAAAACAGATTTAAATTTAACTCTAGAAATTTAATTTTTAATTTTTTTAATTTTTTAATTTTTAAAAATTTTTTAATTTTTAAATTTTTTTTAATTTCTGCTTTGAATTTCCTTGAATCCATGTAGAATTTCCTTTAATCCTCAAAATCCTGAGGGAGAAAGTTCTGAATTCATGGAGAATTTTCCACTGGATTTGGAGATAAAGAAAAAACTGATCAAAGCAGATTTAAATTTAACTCTAGAAATTGAATTTTTAATTTTTAAAAATTTTTTAACTTTTTAAAAATTTTTTAATTTTTTAAATGTTTTTTAATTTTTAAAAATTTTTTAATTCCTGCTTTGAATTTCCTTGAATCCATGTAGAATTTCCTTTAATCCTCAAAATCCTGAGGGAGAAAGTTCTGAATTCATGGAGAATTTTCCACTGGATTTGGAGAAAAAGAAAGAACTGATCAAAGCAGATTTAAATTTAACTCTAGAAATTGAATTTTTAATTTTTTAAAATTTTTAAATTTTTCAAATTTTTTAAATTTTTTAAATTTCTGCTTTGAATTTCCTTGAATCCATGTAGAATTTCCTTTAATCCTCAAAATCCTGAGGGAGAAAGTTCTGAATTCATGGAGAATTTTCCACTGGGTTTGGAGATAAAGAAAAAACTGATCAAAGCAGATTTAAATTTAACTCTAGAACTTGAATTTTTAATTTTTTAAAATTTTTTAGTTTTTTAAATTTTTTAATTTCTGCTTTGAATTTCCTTGAATCCATGTAGAATTTCCTTGAATCCTTAAAATTGCCTTTAATCCTCAAAATCCTGAGGGAGAAAGTTCTGAATTCATGGACAATTTACCACTGGATTTGGAGATAAAGGAAAAACTGATCAAAGCAGATTTAAATTTAAATCTAGAAATTTAATTTTTAATTTTTTAAAATTTTTTTAGTTTTTTTAATTTTTTTAATTTCTGCTTTGAATTTTTTTGAATCCATGTAGAATTTCCTTTAATCCTTAAAATTTCCTTTAATCCTTAAAATTTCGTTTAATCCTCAAAATCCTGAGGGAGAAAGTTCTGAATTCATGGAGAATTTTCCACTGGATTTGGAGAAAAAGAAAGAACTGATCAAAGCAGATTTAAATTTAACTCTAGAAATTGAATTTTTAATTTTTTTAATTTTTTAAAATTTTTTAATTTTTTAAAATTTTTTAATTTCTGCTTTGAATTTCCTTTAATCCTTAAAATTTCCTTTAATCCTGAGGGAGAAAGTTCTGAATTCATGGAGAATTTTCCAATGGGTTTGGAGATAAAGAAAGAACTGATCAAAGCAGATTTAAATTTAACTCTAGAAATTGAATTTTTAAATTTTTTTAATTTTAAATTTTTTTTAATTTTTTAATTTCTGCAGCTGAAAATAGATAAATTTAACTCTAAAAATTGAATTTTTAATTTTTTAAATTTTTAATTTTTTTAAATTTTTTAATTTCTGCAGCCCAGCAGTTGCAGAAATTGAAATAATTCTGATTTTTTTGCATCCCAAATTGAAGGAAATTTTACCTGCTCCACTCTGTGCCTGGTCTGGAGGAAGGGATCGTAGCGAGCCCGGATGGCCCTCATGGATGTTGGCTGAAAAAAAAACCCCAAAAATTCATTTTAGAAATTTTATTTTCCCCCCAAAAATGCTGAAAACTTCAAATCCTGACTGACCCAAAGCCTCCAAACCCACAAACCAAAACTTTGTAAAATTATAAATATGAATTTGGCTCTTTTTTTAAATATTTTTTAAATTTTTTTAAAAATTTTTTAAAAATTTATTAAAAATATTTTTAAATTTTTTAAAATTTTTTTAAGTTTTTTTTAAATTTTTAAATTTAATTTTAAATTTTAAATTTTTAAAAAAATTTTTTAAAATTTCAACATTTTTACCCTGAGATGGCACCATGACCTAAAATCACCAAAATTCTTCCATTTTTGGTGTTTGCATTCCAACGAAATTCCAATATTTTGGAATATTCCAAAAGATTCCAATATTTTTAGTGCTCTCCAAGCTAAAATAAATCTCTGCAGTGAGTGACAAAAGTGTTACAAAAACCACAAAATGTTTTTAAAATTCCTCCTACACTCAGTCTGGGTCTCAAATATTTCTAAATTAAATTTATTCCTTCAATTAAAATTTTTTAAAAAATCATTTTTAAATCACCAGCTGATGGGAAGCTATTAATAAAATTTTAAATAGATTTATATTTCTAAATTAAATTTATTCAATTAAAATTTAAAAAAATCATTTTTTAAATCACCAGCGGATGGGAAGCTATTAATAATATTTTAAATAGATTTATATTTCTAAATTAAATTTATTCCTTCAATTGCTGATGGGAACATATTAATAAAATTTTAAATAGATTTATATTTCTAAATTAAATTTATTTCTTCAATTAAAATTTTAAAAAAAATCATTTTTTTAATCACCAGCTGATGGGAACCTATTAATAAAATTTTAAATAGTTTTATATTTCTAAATTAAATTTATTCAATTAAAATTTAAAAAAATCATTTTTTAAATCACCAGCTGATGGGAAGCTATTAATAAAATTTTAAATAGATTTATATTTCTAAATTAAATTTATTCCTTCAATTGCTGATGGGAACATATTAATAAAATTTTAAATAGATTTATATTTCTAAATTAAATTTATTCCTTCAATTAAAATTTTTTTAAAAAATCATTTTTTAAATCACCAGCTGATGGGAAGCTATTAATAAAATTTTAAATAGATTTATGTTTCTAAATTAAATTTATTCCTTCAATTAAAATTAAAAAAAAATCATTTTTTAAATCACCAGCTGATGGGAACCTATTAATAAAATTTTAAATAGATTTATATTTCTAAATTAAATTTATTCCTTCAATTAAAATTTTTTAAAAAATCATTTTTTTAATCACCAGCTGATGGGAACCTATTAATAAAATTTTAAATAGTTTTATATTTCTAAATTAAATTTATTCAATTAAAATTTAAAAAAATCATTTTTTAAATCACCAGCTGATGGGAAGCTATTAATAATATTTTAAATAGATTTATATTTCTAAATTAAATTTATTCCTTCAATTAAAATTTAAAAAAAATCATTTTTTAAATCACCAGCTGATGGGAACCTATTAATAAAATTTTAAATAGATTTATATTTCTAAATTAAATTTATTCAATTAAAATTTAAAAAATCATTTTTAAATCACCAGCTGATGGGAAGCTATTAATAAAATTTTAAATAGATTTATATTTCTAAATTAAATTTATTCCTTCAATTAAAATTTTAAAAAAATCATTTCTTTAATCACCCGCTGATGGGAACCTATTAATAATATTTTAAAAATATTTATATTTCTAAATTAAATTTATTCCTTCAATTGCTGATGGGAACCTATTAATAAAATTTTAAATAGATTTATATTTCTAAATTAAATTTATTCAATTAAAATTTAAAAAAATCATTTTTTAATCACCAGCTGATGGGAACCTATTAATAATATTTTATATAGATTTATATTTCTAAATTAAATTTATTCAATTAAAATTTTAAAAAATCATTTTTTAAATCACCAGCTGATGGGAACCTATTAATAAAATTTTAAATAGATTTATATTTCTAAATTAAATTTATTCCTTCAATTAAAATTAAAAAAAAATCATTTTTTAAATCACCAGCTGATGGGAAGCTATTAATAATATTTTAAATAGATTTATATTTCTAAATTAAATTTATTCAATTAAAATTTAAAAAAATCATTTTTTAAATCACCAGCTGATGGGAACCTATTAATAAAATTTTAAATAGATTTATATTTCTAATTTAAATTTATTCCTTCAATTGCTGATGGGAACCTATTAATAAAATTTTAAATAGATTTCTATTTCTAAATTAAATTTATTCCTTCAATTAAAATTACAAAAAAATCATTTTAAATCACCAGCTGATGGGAACCTATTAATAAAATTTTAAATAGATTTTCTAGTCCCTGGATTCATTTGATATATCCCATTTTTTCCTATTTAAAGATGGAAATCACTGAGTTAACAGCAGAAATAATTTCTATTTAAAAGGAATTTTCAGCAAATTAATCCAGGTGGGTTTTACCTCGTTTTCCTACCACAGCTTTGGAGTTTTTTAGTTAAAATCAGTGCCAATAATTCAATCATAAACTGCTGTTAAATTTCCTCCAGACAAGAGGGAGGGAAGTTTGGAAATAGAAAAATGAAAATATAAAAATTTCAATTTATCACTGCAGAGAAAAGGGAATTCATTGAATTTCAGGGGTATTAACAGCTAAAAATGAGGATTTTTTAATCAAAATTTACACTTTTTTTAATCCTATAGGAACCTCTCCAGATCTCTGTGTTTGAAGAACCTTCTTAGACAAATTTTAAAATTTTAAGTCATTATGAATTGCAATAATTTGTAATTATTTGTATTTTTAATTGTAATAATTACAAATAATGCAGTGAATTAATTGTAATTAATTTTTGTAAGAATTTCTCTCCTGGACTTTGCTTTAAAACCTGAAGTTTCTGAAAGTTGATTTTGTTTTTTTTTTGATTTTTGTGTTTATTTTTGGTTTTATTCTTGCAAGAGGAGGGAGCAGCAGAAATAAAGCCCAGCCTAAACCAAAGCCAGGCTTAAGGAATGTGGGAATAACCAAAAAAAATAAATTAAAAATAAAAAGAAAAATAAAAAATCAGAACCTCATATCCTGTGTAGGACTGGGTGGAATATTCAAAATCAGAGTCAGGGCCCCCTGGGCAATACCTGCAGGGAAAAAAAACCAGAAAAAAACCAAGAATTCAACTCAAAATTCCAATTATTTCTGTGATATTGATATTAAAATTGGAATTAATTGGAATTAATTTGCATGAGAATGAGAGCTGAAAGAAGCCAGGGAGATTTTCTGGAAGCAAAATCCATGGAAATATTTCTGGGCTATTCCATTGGTTTTTAGGGAGCAGCCATAAAAGTTTTGGGGCAATGGTTACAAGCAAATAAATTGATTTTTTTAAAATAATAATTTCAAAATTGGAATGTTTTCCATGATTCCCTCAATTCTCTCACTTTATTCCATGCAGAATATGAATTTTTTTGGGCCAAGGAGAGATGGAAAATTGAAATATCACCCATGAACTTTGCCAGAAATTTGGGGAATTTTAACATTTTAACATTTTAATATTTTAACATTTGGATGGTGAGGAAACTCAGCTGTAGGAGTCATCCATCATCATTATAAAATTAATTAGAAATTAATGAATAAATCACCATGCCCACATTCATTTGCTGGCAATTTGTGCATTTTAGACAAGGAATTACCTGGAAAATTTCATGGATTTGGGGCAGGGAATGTTTGGGAAGAAATGAAAATATCAGAAAAGAATCATCAAAATCAGATTTCAAGGGAATGGAGTCAAAATGAGGAGGAAAATTCAAAATAAGCCAAGGCCTTGTTCTGTAATTTGAATAAAATGGAGCTGATGCCAGGAGATTTCAGCAGCTGGAGGGCAAAAAATTAATAAGAAATCAATAGAAATCAATAGAAATTAATAGAAATTAATAAAGAAAATAAGAATAAATTAATAATTACAAGGGTGGGAAGCTAATGTTAAAATTAATAATAAATTAATATAAATTAATAAAGAAAATAAGAATAAATTAATAATCACAAGGGTGGGAAGCTAATATCCAAACTAATAATTAATGAATAGAAATTAATAAAGAAAATAATAATAAATTAATAAACACAAGGGTGGGAAGCTAATATTCAAATTAATAATAAATCAATAGAAATGAATATAAATTAATAAAGAAAATAACACTAAATTAATAATCACAAGGGTGGGAAGCTAATATTAAAATAAATAATAAAAGAATAGAAATTAATAAAGAAAATAATAATAAATTAATAATCACAAGGGTGGGAAGCTAATGTTCAAATTAATAATAAATGAATATAAATTAATAAAGATAATAACACTAAATTAATAATCACAAGGGTGGGAAGCTAATATTCAAATTAATAATAAATCTATAGAAATGAATATAAATTAATAAAGAAAATAAGAATAAATTAATAATCACAAGGGTGGGAAGCTAATGTTCAAATTAATAATAAATCAATAGAAATTAATATAAATAAATAAAGAAAATAACACTAAATTAATAATCACAAGGGTGGGAAGCTAATATCCAAATTAATAATAAATGAAGAGAAATTAATAAAGAAAATAACACTAAATTAATAATCACAAGGGTGGGAAGCTAATGTTCAAATTAATAATAAATGAATATAAATTAATAAATACAATAATAATAAATTAATAAACACAAGGGTGGGAAGCTAATATCCAAATAAATAATAAATCAATAGAAATGAATAGAGATTAATAAAGAAAATAATAATAAATTAATAAACACAAGGGTGGGAAGCTAATGTCCAAATTAATAATAAATGAATATAAATGAATAAAGAAAATAATAATAAATTAATAATCACAAGGGTGGGAAGCTAATGTTAAAATTAATAATAAATCTATAGAAATGAATATAAATGAATAAAGAAAATAATAATAAATTAATAATCACAAGGGTGGGAAGCTAATGTTAAAATTAATAATAAATGAATATAAATTAATAAAGAAAATAATAATAAATTAATATTCACAAGGGTGGGAAGCTAATGTTCAAATTAATAATAACTGAATATAAATTAATAACGAAAATAACACTAAATTAATAATCACAAGGGTGGGAACCTAATATCCAAATTAATAATAAATGAATATAAATTGATATAAATTAATAAAGATAATAATAATAAATTAATAATCACAAGGGTGGGAAGCTAATATCCAAATTAACAATAAATCAATATAAATGAATATAAATTAATAAAGAAAATAACACTAAATTAATAATCACAAGGGTGGGAAGCTAATATTCAAATTAACAATAAATCAATATAAATTAATATAAATTAATAAAGATAATAATAATAAATTAATAATCACAAGGGTGGGAAGCTAATGTTAAAATTAATAATAAATCTATAGAAATGAATATAAATTAATAAAGAAAATAATAATAAATTAATAATCTCAAGGGTGGGTCATGGAAGGAGGAGATTTTCTCCCTTGAGGAAAAGGTGAAAATTTCAGTTTTTGGTGGGTGTGGCTGCTCCTGCAGGGCTGGGGTTGTCCAGGAATGCTGGGAAAGGAACTTTGGGGGAATTCCTCAGGAATGGGGATTCCAGAAATCCCTGGGCAGGAATTGTTCCCAAAATTCACCTGAAACTCCCTGGAACAACCTGGGAGAAATCCCAATTCCTCCTCAGGGAATTCCAGATCCGTGTCCCCAAGTGGGATTTCCATGGGAATTTGGAATTCCTCAGGAATGGGGATTTCAAAAATCCCTGGGCAGGAATTGTTCCCAAAATCCAACCTGAAACTCCCTGGAACAACCTAAGGCCATTTCCTGGGAGAAATCCCAATTCCTTTTATCAAGGAATTCCAGATCCGTGTCCCCAAGTGCCACTTCCATGGGATTTCCATGGGAATTTGGAATTCCTCTGGGAATGGGGATTCCAAACCTCCCTGGGCAGGAATTGTTCCCAAAATTCACCTGAAACTCCCTGGAACAACCTGGGAGAAATCCCAATTCCTTTTATCAAGGAATTCCAGATCCGTGTCCCCAAGTGCCACTTCCATGGGATTTCCATGGGAATTTGGAATTCCTCAGGAATGGGGATTCCAAACCTCCCTGGGCAGGAATTGTTCCCAAAATCCAACCTGAAACTCCCTGGAACAACCTGGGAAAAATCCCAATCCCACCTGCCTGGGAATTCCAGATTTGTGTCCCCAAATGGGACTTCCATGGGGATTAGGAATTCCTCTGGGAACAGGGATTCCAAAAATCCCTGGAAAAGCCTTTCCAGGCAGGAATTGCTCCCAAAACCCAACCTGAACTTCTCCTGGAGGAACTTCTGGCTCTTTCCTGGGAAAAATCCCAATTTCTTCTATCAAGGAATTCCAGATCCGTGGGGATTTGGAATTCCTTGATAGAAGTGGGACTTCCATGGGGATTTGGAACTCCTTTGGGAACTTCCATGGGGTTTTGGAATTCATTTGGGAACAGGGATTCCAAAACTCCCTGGAAAAGCCTTTCCAGGCAGGAATTGTTCCCAAAATCCAACCTGAAACTGAACTTCCCCTGGAACAACTTCTGGCTGTTCCCTGGGAGAAATCCCAATTCCTTCTATCAGGGAATTCCAGATCTGTGTTCCCAGGTGGGATTTCCATGGGGATTGGGAATTCCTCAGGAATGGGGATTCCAAACCTCCCTGGGCAGGAATTCCAGGGTTGGAAAACTCTGTCCAGGCAGGAATTGTTCCCAAAATCCAACCTGAACCTCTCCTGGAACAACCTGAGGCCATTTCCTGGGAGAAAACCCAATTCCTTTTATCAAGGAATTCCAGATCCGTGTCCCCAAGTGCCACTTCCACAGGAATTTGGAATTCCTCAGGAATGGGGATTCCAAACCTCCCTGGACAGGAATTGTTCCCAAAACCCAACCTGAACCTCTCCTGGAGGAACTTCTGGCTCTTTCCTGGGAGAAATCCCAATTTCTTCTATCAAGGAATTCCAAATCCTTGTCCCCAAATAGGATTTCCACAGGGACTGGGAATTCCTCTGGGAATGGGAATTCCAAAAATCCCTGGGCAGGAATTGTTCCCAAAACCCAACCTGAAACTCCCTGGAACAACCTGAGGCCATTTCCTGGGAGAAATCCCAATTCCTCCTGCCAGGGAAAGCTGCAAAAGGCAGCAGAACTGAGATCAGAGCTGAGCAGCAGCCATGAGATAAATCAGCAGAGAAATTCTGGAAAATGTAGAAAAGTAAGGACAAAAATAACAATAATCTAGAATATTGGTCTAGAATAACTCCCTAAGCTGCAGGAAAGTTTATCTGGAGAGATATGAGGAGTTTTAAGGTTAATAATGGAGCTCTGTGCATTTGTTATAGGGCTCACAGGCAGGAATTGGATTGGAAATAAGCAAAATAAATTGTTTTAACCAAAGGTAAAACAATGGATGGAATTGCCATCAATGTGCTTTTGCTTTTTATAATTGTAAAAAAATTTTAAATTCAGTTGTACCACGAAATTCTCTGTCTGTGCCTGGGGTGTGAGGCAAGCAGGACTTGGATTCAAAATTAGCAAAATAATTCAGTGTTTTAACCAAAGGTAAAACAACAATGGATGGAACTGCCATCAATGTGCTTTTGCTTGGTGTGATTGCTCAAAAAACAACTTTTAAATTGAGTTGTACCATGGGATGAGAGTGATGCTGGAAAATCAAAGAGCTCCAAGTGTGGGAATGCAGAAAATCAGAGATTTGGGAAAGCTGCAAAAGGCAGCCCCAGAAACAACAAAATTGTGATCAGAGCTGAGCAGCAGCCATGAGATAAATCAGCAGAGAAATTCTGTCAAATGTAGAAAAGTAAGGACAAAAAGAACAAAAATCTAAAATAATGGTCTGGAATAACTCCCAAAGCTGCAGGAAAGTTTATCTGGAGAGATATTAGGAATTTTCAAGGTTAATAATGGAGCTCTGTGCATTTGTTATAGGGCTCACAGGCAGGAATTGGATTGGAAATAAGCAAAATAATTCAGTGTTTTAACCAAAGGTAAAACAATGGATGGAACTATTGTCAATGTGCTTTTGCTTGGTGTGATTGTAAAATACTTTTAAAATGAGTTGTACCATGAAATTCTCTGTCTGGGCCTGGGGTGTGAGGCAAGCAGGAATTGGATTCAAAATAAGCAAAATAATTCAGTGTTTTAACCAAAGGTGAAACAATGGATGGAACCATTGTCAATGTGCTTTTGCTTGGTGTGATTGCTCCAAAACCAACTTTTAAATCAAATTGTACCATGAAACTCCCTGTCTGTGCTGGGCTGTGAGCTGCTGGCACCTCCCCACGGTCCCAGCCATGGGATGGGGCTGATGCTGGAAAATCAAAGAGCTCAGAGAATGAAACCAGCACATCCCTGGCACTCCCACCCTGTTTGTCATTTGTACCAATCAGATTTTGCTTGCACACCCACCCAAATTTTGTGTCCCCATACTCACACACAGATGTTCCCCGTGAAGTTGATGTGGGGGCACCGGTGGGGTTTGCACATCACGGCCACCACGGCGATCTGCCAGGGAAATTGCAGGAATTACCCCAAAATTTACAAAATTCAACTGTTTTTTGTGAGGCTGGGGGTGCTGGGGGCATCTGTGGGGCTGTTTTGGGGTAAAATTGATGTGGGTTAAGCCCAGAAGGGGAAAACAAAGCCAGAGAGAAATAGGAATGTTTAATAAATTCTATTAAATATTATTTCATGCTGTCAGGTTTTGTACTAAGAATAAATAAGAAATGAATTAATAAATAAATGTTTGAGGTCTGATATAGAGAATGGGGTGGTTTACAGTGAACAGGTCTGATATGGAGAATTAGGGCTGATACAAAAAATCAGGAGGTTTCAGAATAAATTGGGGTCTATATGAAGATTTAGGTGGTTTCAGAATAAATTGGGGTCTGATATGGAAAATTAGGTCTGATATGAAAAATTAGGTGGTTTCAGTATAAATTGGGGTTTGATATGGAGATTTAGGTGATTTCAGAATAAATTGGGGTCTGATATCAAAAATTAGGCGGATTCAGAATAAACTGGAGTCTGATATGGAGATTTAGGTCTGATATAAAGAATTAGCTGGTTTCAGTGTAAATTGGGGTCTGAGATGGAGATTTAGGTGGTTTGAGAATAAATTGGGGTCTGATATGGAGAATTAGGTCTGATATAAAAAATTAGGTGATTTCAGTAAAAATTGGGGTTTGATATGGAGATTTAGGTGGTTTCAGTGTAAATTTGGGTCTGATATAAAAAATCAGGTGATTTCAGTATAAATTGGGGTCTGATATCAAGAATTAGGTGGATTCAGAATAAACTGGAGTCTGCTATGGAGATTTAGGTGGATTCAGAATAAATTGGGGTCTGATATGGAGATTTAGGTGGATTCAGAATAAATTGGGGTCTGATATAAAAAATCAGGTGGTTTCAGAATAAACTGGAGTCTGAGATGGAGATTTAGGTGGTTTGAGAATAAATTGGGGTCTGATATGGAGAATTAGGTCTGATATAAAGAATTAGGTGATTTCAGTATAATTTGGGGTCTGATAAGGAGAATTAGGTGGTTTCAGTTTAAATCTGGGTCTGATATAAAAAATTAGGTGATTTCAGTATAAATTTGGGTCTGATATGGAGATTTCGGTGGTTTCAGAATAAATTGGGGTCTGATATCAAGAATTAGGTGGATTCAGAATAAACTGGAGTCTGATATAAAGAATCAGGTCTGATATAAAGAATTAGCTGGTTTCAGTATAAACTGAGGTCTGATATGGAGATTTGGGTGGTTTCAGTATAAATTTGGGTCTGATATAAAGAATTAGATGGTTTCAGAATAAATTGGAGTCTGATATGGAGAACTGAGTGGTTTCAGTGTAAATTGGGGTCTGATATAAAAAATCAGGTGGTTTTAGAATAAACTGGAGTCTGAGATGAAGATTTAGGTGGTTTCAGAATAAACTGGGCTCTGATATGGAGATTTAGATGGTTTCAGTGTAAATTGGGGTCTGATATCAAGAATTAGGTCTGATATAAAAAATTAGGTGATTTCAGTATAATTTGGGGTCTGATATAAAGATTTAGGTGGTTTCAGTTTAAATTTGGGTCTGATATAAAAAAATTAGATGGTTTCAGTATAAACTGGGGTCTGATATGGAGATTTAGGTGGTTTCAGAATAAATTGGGGTCTGATATCAAGAATTAGGTGGATTCAGAATAAATTGGGGTCTGATATGGAGAATTAGGTCTGATATAAAAAATTAGGTGATCTCAGTATAAATTAGAGTTTGATATGGAGATTTGGGTGGTTTCAGTGTAAATTAGGGACTGATATAAAAAAATTAGGTGGTTTCACTATAAATTGGGGTCTGATATGGAGATTTAGGTGGTTTCAGTATAAATTTGGGTCTGATATAAAGAATTAGATGGTTTCAGTATAAACTGGGCTCTGATATGGAGATTTAGGTGGTTTCAGAATAAATTGGGGTCTGATATAAAAAATCAGGTGGTTTCAGAATAAACTGGAGTCTGAGATGAAGATTTAGGTGGTTTCAGTGTAAATTGTGGTCTGATATCAAGAATTAGGTCTGATATAAAAAATTAGGTGATCTCAGTATAAATTGGGGTTTGATATGGAAATTTAGGTGGTTTCAGTATAAACTGGGCTCTGATATGGAGATTTAGGTGGTTTCAGAATAAATTGGGGTCTGATATGGAGAATTAGGTCTGATATAAAAAATTAGGTGATTTCAGTATAAACTGGGGTCTGATATGGAGATTTAGGTGGTTTCAGTGTAAATTGGGGTCTGATATAAAGAACTGAGCAGCTTCAGCATAAACTGGGCTCTGAGATAAAGAATCAGGTCTGATATAAAGAATTAGATGGTTTCAGTATAAACTGGGGTCTGATATGGAGATTTGGGTGGTTTCAGTATAAATTTGGGTCTGATATAAGGAATTAGATGGTTTCAGTGTAAATTGGGGTCTGATATGGAGATTTAGGTGGATTCAGAATAAATTGGAGTCGGATATAAAAAATCAGGTGGTTTCAGAATAAACTGGAGTCTGAGATGGAGATTTAGGTGGTTTGAGAATAAATTGGGGTCTGATATGGAGATTTAGGTCTGATATAAAGAATTAGGTGATTTCAGTATAATTTGGGGTCTGATAAGGAGAATTAGGTGGTTTCAGTTTAAATTTGGGTCTGATATAAAAAATTAGATGGTTTCAGTGTAAATTGGGGTCTGATATGGAGATTTAGGTGGTTTCAGAACAAATTGGGGTCTGATATCAAGAATTAGGTGGTTTCAGAATAAATTGGGGTCTGATATAAAAAATCAGGTGGTTTCAGAATAAACTGGAGTCTGAGATGAAGATTTAGGTGGTTTCAGTGTAAATTTGGGTCTGATATAAAGAATTAGGTCTGATATAAAAAATTAGGTGGTTTCACTATAAACTGGGGTCTGATATGGAGATTTAGGTGGATTCAGAATGAATTGGGGTCTGATATGGAGATTTAGGTGGTTTCAGTGTAAATTTGGGTCTGATATAAAAATCAGGTGATTTCAGTGTAAATTGGGGTCTGATATGAAGAATTAGGTCTGATATAAAGATTTAGGTGGTTTCAGTGTAAATTGGGGTTTGATATGGAGATTTAGGTGGTTTCAGTATAAACTGGGCTCTGATATGGAGATTTAGGTGGATTCAGAATAAATTGGGGTTGGATATGGAGAATTAGGTCTGATATAAAAACTTAGGTGATCTCAGTATAAATTAGGGTTTGATATGGAGATTTGGGTGGTTTCAGTGTAAATTGGGGTCTGATATGGAGAATTAGATGGTTTCAGTGTAAATTGGGGTCTGATATGGAGATTTAGGTGGATTCAGAATAAACTGGGGTCTGATATAAAGATTTAGGTGGTTTCAGAATAAATTGGGGTCTGATATAAAGATTTAGGTGGTTTCAGAATAAATTGGGGTCTGATATGGAAATTTAGGTGGTTACAGTGTAAATTTGGGTCTGATATCAAAAATTAGGTGGTTTCACTATAAATTTGGGTCTGCTATGGAGATTTAGGTGGTTTCAGTATAAACTGGGCTCTGCTATGGAGATTTGGGTGGTTTCAGTATAAACTGGGCTCTAATACAGAGCTTTAGGTGGCTTCAGTGTAAATTGGGGTCTGATATAAAAAATCCCTATCCCAGGGTGCTTTCCATGGACCCTTCCAGGGATGCAGAACCACAGGAAAACCTCCAAGGAAGGAACTTTTCCCCCAAACTCTTCTCTGTGCTGAAAAGGCAACGCCACCACTGCCTTTGGGTGGGGATTCAACCCAAATTACCCAAATTTGGGGTTGGGAGCAGGGAGGGTGTGGGGAAGGAGGAGAAACCCCCTGTGTCTCACCCCACTGGCCGTCCTGATGGGCTTGGCCTTGAGCTTTGGCAGCAGAACCTTCCGGAACTGCGGCGGCACGGCCGCGATGATGTCGACGAGACGCGGCTGCGCCGGCAGCCCGTACCTGGCTGAGGTCCTGGTCTTCAGCCTGCAAATAAAACCACCCAGAATCACCAAAAATATCCAAAATCAGCAAAAGCTGCCCTCCTTTCCATCTGTGCCACAGGGATCCTGGCAGGCTCCTCCAGTTCTGCTCCACAAGCAGCTGCAGTGGGGTGGAAACACCAAAACTCAACTGACAGCTGCCTGTGCCTGGCTGAGGGTTTGGTCTTCAGCCTGCAACCAAAACAGCCAAATTCATCCAAAAATACCCCAAAATCACCCAAAATCACCAAAAAAATCACCAAAATCACCAAAACCTGCCCTCTTTTCCATCTGTGCCACAGAGATCCAGGCAGAAGAATTAAACACAACTGCAGGGTGATGGAAACACCAAAACTCAACTGACAGCTGCCTGTGCCTGGCTGAGGGTTTGATCTTCAGCCTGCAACCACAAACAGCCAAAATCATCGAAAATCACCCAAAAAATACCCAAAATCACCAAAAAAATCACCAAAATCACCAAAACCTGCCCTCTTTTCCACCTGTGCCACTCAGATCCTGGCAGAAGAATTAAACACAACTGCAGAGTGATGGAAACACCAAAACTGAACTGACAGCTGCCTGTGCCTGGCTGAGGGTCTGATATTCAGCGTGCAAATAAAACCACCCAAAATCATCCAAAAAATATCCAAAATCACCAAAAAACATCCAAAATCACCAAAACCTGCCTTCCTTTCCACCTGTGCCACAGAGATCCAGGCAGAAGAATTAAACACAACTGCAGGGTGATGGAAACACCAAAACTCAACTGACAGCTGCCTGTGCCTGGCTGAGGGTTTGGTCTTCAGCCTGCAACCAAAACAGCCAAAGTCATCCAAAAATACCCAAAATCATCCAAAAATACCCAAAATCACCAAAAAACACCAAAAAATCACCAAAAGCTGCCCTCCTTTCCATCTGTGCCACAGGGACCCTGGCAGGCTCCTCCAGTTCTGCTCCACAAGCAGCTGCAGTGGGTGTGGAAACACCAAAAATCAACTGACAGCTGTCAGTGCCTGGCTGAGGGTTTGGTCTTCAGCCTGCAACCACAAACAGCCAAATTCATCCAAAAATACCAAAAAAATACCCAAAATCACCAAAAAAAAAATCACCAAAATCACCAAAACCTGCCCTCTTTTCCACCTGTGCCACAGAGATCCTGGCAGAAGAATTAAACACAACTGCAGGGTGATGGAAACACCAAAACTCAACTCACAGCTGCCTGTACCTGGCTGAGGGTTTGGTTTTCAGCCTGCAACCAAAACACCCAAAACCATCCAAAAATACCCAAAATACCCAAGATCACCCAAACCTGCCCTCCTTTCCACCTGTGCCACAGAGATCCAGGCAGAAGAATTAAACACAAGCAGCTGCAGTGTCTGTAAAAACACCAAAACTCAACTCACAGCTGTCAATGGTTTTTTATTTTCTGTGTTTTCCCCCTAAATTTGGTTTTATCCCGACTCTTGCAAAGCTCCTGCTGGGCCATTTTCAGGGATAATTCCTGCTTGGTGTTTAATTGCTTGTGGTGATTAATTAATGTCATTAATTAACCCTACACACCCAGCCAGGAGCTGAGTTCTCCTCCAAGGCAATTCCTGGCAGGAATTTCCAGGAAAAAGTTTGGAATTATGGCAATAAAGTGGGAAAAGTGGGGGAAATTTGGGTTTTCTTGCTCTACAGAAATAAAGGAAGAAGGAATTTCTGGAAACAATAAATTCAGGATTTCTTACTTCACATAAATAAAGGAGGAAAAAAATTCTTATAAACAACAAATTCAGGTTTTCTTACTCCACATAAATAAAGAAGAAATTGCTGTAAACATCAAAATCAGGAATTCTTTTTCCAAATAAATAAATAAAGGAGGAAGAAATTTCTGTAAACAAAAAATTCAGGTTTTCTTACTCACATAAATAAAAAAGGAAAAAGTTTCTGTAAGTAAAAAATTCAGCTTTTATTACTCCAAATAAATAAAGGAAGAAGGAATTTTTATACAGAACAAATTCAGGATTTCTTCCTCCACATAAATAAAGGAGGGAAAAGTTTCTGTAAATAACAAATTCAGGATTTATTATTCCAGATAAATAAAGGAGGAAGAAATTTCTATAAATAACAAATTCAAGATTTCTTACTCGACATAAATAAATAAAGGAGTAAGAAATTTCTATAAAAATAAATTCAGGATTTCTTACTCCAAATAAATAAAAAAGGAAAAAGTTTCTGTAAGTAAAAAATTCAGCTTTTATTACTCCAAATAAGTCAAGGAAGAAGGAATTTCTATATAGAAATTCCTTAGTAAGAAGTTCAGGATTTCTTACTTCACATAAATTAAGAAAGAAAAAATTCCTGTGAACAACAAATTCAGGTTTTCTTCCTCCACATAAATAAAGAAGGAAGAAGTTGCTGTAAATAACAAAGTCAGGATTTATTACTCCAAATAAATAAAGGAGGAAGAAATTTCTATAAAGAACAAATTCAAGATTTCTTACTGGACATAAATAAATAAAGGAGTAAGAAATTTCTGTAAAAATAAATTCGGGATTTCTTACTCCACATAAATAAAGGAGGAAAAAGTTTCTGTAAGTAAAAAATTCAGCTTTTCTTACTCCAAATAAGTAAAGGAAGAAGGAATTTTTATAAAGGACAAATTCAGGTTTTCTTACTCCAAATAAATAAAGGAGGAAAAAATTCTGTAAACAACAAATTCAGGTTTTATAAATATATAAATAAAGAAGAAATTCCTGTAAACATCAAAATCAGGAATTCTTTTTCCAAATAAATAAATAAAGGAGGAAGAAATTTCTGTAAACAAAAAATTCAGCTTTTATTACTCCAAATAAGTCAAGGAAGAAGGAATTTCTATAAAGAACAAATTCAGGTTTTCTTCCTCCACATAAAGAAAGAAGAAATTGCTGTAAACATCAAAATCAGGAATTCTTTTTCCAAATAAATAAATAAAGGAGGAAGAAATTTCTGTAAACAAAAAATTCTGGATTTCTTACTCCAAATAAATAAAGGAGGAAAAAATTCCTGTAAACAAAAAATTCAGCTTTTATTAATCCAAATAAGTCAAGGAAGAAGGAATTTCTATAAAGAACAAATTCAGGTTTTCTTACTCCACATAAATAAAGAAGGAAAAAACTCCTGTGAACAACAAATTCAGGATTTCTTCCTCCACATAAAGAAAGAAGGAAAAAGTTTCTGTAAATAACAAAGTCAGGATTTATTACTCCAAATAAATAAAGGAGGAAGAAATTTCTATAAAGAACAAATTCAAGATTTCTTACTGGACATAAATAAATAAAGGAGGAAGAAATTTCTATAAAAATAAATTCGGGATTTCTTACTCCACATAAATAAAGGAGGAAAAAGTTTCTGTAAGTAAAAAATTCAGCTTTTCTTACTCCAAATAAGTAAAGGAAGAAGGAATTTTCATAAAGAACAAATTCAGGATTTCTTCCTCCACATAAATTAAGAAAGAAAAAATTCCTGTGAACAACAAATTCAGGATTTCTTCCTCCACATAAATAAGGAAGGAAGAAATTTCTCTAAAGAACAAATTCAGGATTTCTTCCTCCACATAAATAAAGAAGGAAAAAGTTTCTGTAAATAACAAATTCAGGATTTATTACTCCAAATAAATAAAGGAGGAAGAAATTTCTATAAAGATCAAATTCAGGATTTCTTACTTCACATAAATTAAGAAAGAAAAAATTCCTGTGAACAACAAATTCAGGACTTCTTCCTCCACATAAAGAAAGAAGGAAAAAGTTTCTGTAAATAACAAATTCAGGATTTATTACTCCAAATAAATAAAGGAGGAAGAAATTTCTCTAAAGAATAAATTCAGGATTTTTTTACTCCACAAATCTGAAGAACAAAGAAGTTTCTAGAAACGGTTTTGGGTGTAACGCATGGCTAAAAAAATCTGATTTAATATTATTTCTATATGAATGTCTCCTTTCCTGATGGATTTGGGACTAGTGAGGGATAGGGTAGAAAATGGAGAAAAACAAAAAGGGAATGAGAGTTTTGTGGAGTTTTTCAGAAAATCCCTCCTATTTGAGAGCTGGTAGGAAATCAGCCCAGAATTTCCCAATTTTGGGGGGTTTATGATGAGAAAAAGGTGTGAAAATGAGAGCTGAGGGTGCTCCTCACTCACTTGTTGAGATCCACGTCCTTGCCCTGCTCGTGGGCCTCCAGGAGCTGCTTTATGATGTCAGCAATGGTCATCACCATCAGCTCGGCCTGGCTCGGCTCCCCTGCACCAGGAACGGGGAAAAAATGGGGAAAAATGGGGGAAAATGGGGAAAAACAGAGAAAGATCAGAGAAAAATCAGAGAAAAATCAGAGAAAAATCAGAGAAAAATCAGAGATTCCCCTGCTCGTCACAACCCAGCTTGAAGTTCCTGTGAAAAACGCCAATCACGTGTTTTGAAAATGTTCAAAGTTTCATGGTAATAAAGTGGTTATAAAAATTGTGATACAATTAGAGTAATAATAATATTAGTACAATTAGAGTAATTATAATATTAATACAATTAGAGTGATAATAATATTACAAGTAGAGTAGTAAAAATTTGGACAATTTGAATCAGGACAATATGAGACAATAAAAGAAAGAGTTATGGATGTCTGGGTACCTTTTCTGGGCAAAAAAAGCCCGAAAAAGGACACACATTAACAAAGGATTAACCCTTAAAAACAATAACCTATTGACACTTCATACATAATGCATAAATTCCATTAAAATACAGGATTCTGTCTGGTCATCCTCAACTTCTTCCTCTGAATCCTAACAGAAAAAGTTCATTTCTTCTGATAATAGGGCAATAAATTCATTTTCTCTGAAAGATTCAGGTGTCCTGGGGCTGCTGTCTCACTGTGAGTCCTTTCTTTACAAAAATAAGTTTCCTACATAGCATAGTTTCTATGTGAACATTTTTTTTATAACCTAAAACTCTATTTACCACACTACTTAAGAGAATGAATCCAGCATTACTTTCTAACACAACACATATAATATTAATATTTGCGAAAAACCAATCATAAAATCCACACATTTTTCACATTCCTGTCATGGAGCCGTGGAATGGTTCAGGCTGGAAAAGAGCTCCGGAGCTCAACCATTCCCAGCAATTCCAAAGCCACACGTGTCCCCAAGTGCCACATGCACAGAGATTTGAAATTGAAATTTAAAATTGAAATTCCTGCCACGGAACCGTGGAATGGTTCAGGCTGGAAAAGAGCTACAGAATCCAACCTCTCCCAGCAATTTCAGAGCCATCAAATGGCCCCGAGTGCCACATCCACAGGGATTTTAAATCCTTCCGGGGATGGGGACTCCAGCACTGCCCTGGGCAGCCGTGTCAGGGCTGGACAGCCCTTTAAAGATAGAAATTCCTCCTGTTATCCAATGTAAAACCTCCTGTTATGCAATTTAAACCTCCTGTTATCCAATTTAAACCTCCTGTTATCCAATTCAAACCCCCCCTGGCACAGCCCGAGGCCGTTTCCCCTCACGCCGTCCCCTCACGTCAGGGAGTTCTGCAGAGTCCCCTGAGCCTCCTTTTCTCCAGGCTCAGCCCCCCCAGCTTCCTCAGCCGGCCGTGCCCCGGCTCCATTCCCTCTCCCAGACACCTTCCAACCCCTCAGCTTTCTTTGTTTTATTTTTTTACCTTTCCCATTTTTCTTTTTCTGCTTCATCCTGGCGGATCCTGCGGCCTGGCCCGCCGCGCTGCCGTAAAGCGCCGCCGCCCCGCGCCGTCGCGAAAGCGCCGTGAACGGGATTGTAGTTCCGCCATCAGCCACCGGGGGGCGCCGGCACCGCACCGAAAGGGCCACCGGGGACACCCCCCCCCCCCAGGGTTTTTGGGGGAAAATCCCGGGGTTTGGGGCTTCTGGCCGTCACCCCGGGTTTGGGGAGGGGGTTTGGGGTCCCCCGGTCCTCCTGTCCGTGTGGGCACCGTTTGGATGCTCGGTTGGATGGCTGGAAAGTTGTGGGGTCCGGTGAAGGCAGAGTGGCCTGGATCAAGGAATCAATCGAGGAATCAATCGAGGAATCAATCGAGGAATCAGTTAAGGTATCAGTCAAGGAATCAGGGAATCAGGGAATCAAGGAATCAGGGAATCATGGAATCACAGCGTCAGAGAGTCATGGAGTCTCAGAATTACAGAATGTGGAATTGTGGAATCACAGGATGATGGAATCTCAGAGTCACAGAGTCACAAAATAATGGAATCACAGATTCCCAGAATCCCAGAACTGTAAAATGATGGAATCGCAGAATCACAGCGTCAGAGAGTCCCAGAGTCTCAGAATTGCTGAATGGGGAATTGTGGAATCACAGGATAATGGAATCTCAGAGTCACAGAGTCAGAGTCACAAAATAATGGAATCACAGATTCCCAGAATCCCAGAACTGTAAAATGAAGGAATCATGGAATCACAGCGCCAGAGAGTCCCAGAGTCTCAGAAGTGCAGAATGGGGAATTGTGGAATCACAGGATGATGGAATCCCAGAGTCAGAATCACAAAATAATGGAATCACAGATTCCCAGAATCCCAGAACTGTAGATAATGGGATCATGGGATCATGGAATCACGGAATCTCAGTCACAGAATCACACAGCCACAGAGTCAGAATCACAAAATCATGGAATCACAGATTCCCAGAATCCCAGAACTGTAGAGCAATGGGATCATGGGATCATGGAATCACGGAATCTCAGTCACAGAATCACACAGCCACAGAGTCAGAATCACAAAATCATGGAATCAAGTCTCAGAGAATCCCAGAACTGCAGAGTGATGGAATCATGGAATCACAGAATGTCAGAGTCACACAGTCAGAATCACGAAATCATGGAATCACAGACTCCCAGAATCCCAGAACTGTAGAATGATGAAATCATGGAATCCCAGGGTCAGAGAGTCCCAGAATCTCAGAAGTGCAGAGTGATGGAATCACAGAATTACAGAGTCTCAGCCTCAATCACAGAATCATGGAATTACAAAATCATAGAATCACAAAGTCACAGATTCAGAGACTCCCAGAATCTGAGAATCACAGAATGTCAGACACACATAATCACAGAACTACAGAATCAGTCACAGACTCACAGAATCACGGGATCAGAGAATCATGGAATCACAGAATCATGGAATTACAGAATCATGGAATTATAGATTCACAATATGACAGAATCATGGACTCACAGACTCATGGAATTACAGAATCACAGAATCATGGAATCACAGACTCACAGAATTACAGAATAAGAGAATTACAGATTCACATGATCATGGAATCACAGAATCATAGAATCACAGAATCAGGGACTCACAGACTCGCAGAATCACAGAACCATGGAATTACAGTCTCACAGAATTAAAGAATCGTGGAATTACAGATTCACAGTATGACAGATTCATGGAACCACAGTTTCACAGAATCATGGACTCACAGACTCACAGAATAATGGACTCACAGTGTCACAGAATCACAGACTTACAGAATCATGGAATCACAGACTCACAGAAAACATGGAATCATGGAGTTGCCGTCTCACAAAAATCACAGAACTACAGAATCAGAGAACCATGGCATTACAGAATCACAAAATCAGGGAATCACAGATTCATAAAATCACTTAGTCACAGACTCAGGCGATCACAGCATCTCAGGCTCACACCCCCACAGAATCCCAGAGCCCCAGGATGGGTCAGGAGGGACGGGACCGCAGAGGGTCACTGGCGTCACCTCCCTGCTTCATCCAGCAGGGCCATCCCAGAGCCCAGGGCACGGGAGTGTGTCCAGACAACTCTGGAATATCCCAGGGAGGAGACTCCACAGCCTCAGGGCTGGGCACTGCCCAGGGCAGAAATTCTTCCTCATGTCCAGGTGGATCTTGCTGGGATCATTCCCTGCCCGTGGCTCTGGTGCCATTGCTGGGCCCTGCTCTGCCCTTCCCTGCACCCAGGGACACGCAGGGATGAGGGTCCCTCTCATTTATCACCTCTCGAGGCTGAACAGCCCCAGCTCCCTCAGCCTTTCATGGCCAGGGAGATGCTCCAGGCCCTTCCTCATCTTTATTGGAGCGGCTCCAGGTTCCTCCTGTCCCAGGACCTGGACACAGCATTCCCAGGGTATAAAAACATCCTGGTGGCTGCTCTTACAGCTGATGATTAAAAAGGGACAATTTCTGAAATTCTCAGTAGTGGGATCATCCTATTTCCCCATTAAATCCAGTTTTTCCCCGGGGTCTCGTTCCCAAATTCCTGCCGGTGCTGTTATCTTCCCCGAGGGGAACCACAACAGCCTGAAGAGGCCGCGCCCCCTCAGCGCCAGATGGTAGCAAAACATCGATTCGAGCAGGAAAAAAACCTATTAAAAAGGGACAATTTCTGAAATGCACAATAATGGGATCATTCTATTTCCCCGTTAAAATTCAGATTTTCCCCAGGGCCTGGTTCCCAAATTCCCGCCGGTGCTGTTATCCTCCCTGAGGGGAATCGTGCGGGCCTGAGGAGGCTGCACCCCCTCAGCCCTAGGTGGCAGCAAAACACAGATTCCGGGAGGGAAAAAACTAATTTAAAATGGTCATTTTCTGAAATTCACAATAATGGGATCATTCTGTTTCCCCGTTAAATCCAGTTTTCGCGGGGGTCTTGTTCCCAAATTCCCGCCGGTGCTGGGATCCTCCCTGAGGGGAACCAGGCGGGCCTGAGAAGGCCGCGCCCCCTCAGCGCTAGATGGTAGCAAAACAGGACGGAAAAACCGATTGAAAAGAGACAAGTTCTGAAATTCCCAGTAGTGGGATCATCCTATTTTCCCGTTAAATCCAGTTTTTCCCGGGGGTCTCTTTCCCAAATTCCCGCTGATGCTGGGATCCGCCCTGACGGAAACCACGCCGACCTGAGGAGGCCGCGCCCCCTCAGCGCTAGATGGTAGCAAAACATCGACTCGAGCAGGAAAAAGCTATTAAAATGGGTCAATTTCTTAAATTCCCAATAATGGGATCGTCCTATTTCCCCATTAAAATTCAGATTTTTCCCGGGGTCTCGTTCCCAAATTCCCGCCGGTGTTGGGATCCTCCCTGAGGGAAACCACGCGGGCCTGAGGAGGCCGCGCCCCCTCAGCGCTAGATGGTAGCAAAACACAGATTCCGGGAGGAAAAAACCGGATGGTTTTCCTGAAAAATGGAGAAAAATCCCTCCTGGAGACCCGCGGGTTCCCGGGGAGTGCACGGAGGAGGGAACAGGGAAGGGGAACAACGGGGGGAAGAGGCTGAGGGGGACCCTGGATGCAAACCGTGCAGAGATGAGGGGAGGCTGGATTATGAGAAAAGGTTTATTGGGAAAAGGTTTATTGGGAAAAGGTTTACAGGAAAAGGTTTATTGGGAAAAGGTTCTTCCCTAAAGAGTCAGGCACTGAACAGGATCCCCAGGGAATGGTGACATTCCCAACGCTCCAGGACCACCCTCCCAGGGAGGGATTTTGGGGTGTCTGTGCAGGAGTTGGATTTGATGATCTTGCAGCTCAGGATTTTTCGTGATTCCTGAAGTGTCACAATGTCCCACACACAGCAGTTGTGCCTTCTCCTCCTTGGGAGGATTTGGAAGCCCTAAATTCGTCAGCAGGACGGGATGATCCCAGATCTGACCCTGCTTAAAGCAGAAGGTTGAACCTGGGGTTTCTTGCATCCCAAATTCTGCATCAATCCTATAAAATCAGCTTGGGATTCTTCTGTGAATATCCAGCGACTTCTAAAACTCACATGAGCTTCTGAAGACAGGGATTTCCTTGGCTTCTGTTAGGAGAATTGGCAACTTTTTGGTTGTTGCTGTTTGTCAGGGCCTTGCTGACGGCACCAGCTCCCAAATCTCCTCCCTGGTGCCATCCTGCTCAATCCTGGATTCTGGTGGGTCACAAACCTGCCTTGAGCAGAGAGGAAATGCTGCCTGGATGAAAATAAACCATAAAACTCACTCTAAGTGCTTGGTAAATGGAGTTCTGTGGGAGTTACTGGAGATGCCTTTGGAGAGGTGGAGAAAACGGGGCTGGGGATGAATCAGAGCTTTTGCTCTTTGTGCTTCTGGAGCTGGGCTGTTGCCCTGTGGCACTGCAGCCTTGCTTGGGATGCTCAGTGGCACCTGAGCTGAACAGTCAAGGTTGAATTTATTCCTCTCTGTGGCCAGGATTCAGCTCCTTCAGCACTTCCAGCAGAGGCTGAGAGGAGTTCTGAGGGTGTTTTCCCTGTTGTGAGCTGTGGGATCTGAATGGGGTTCTGGAGGATTGATTTCTTGGGCAAATCTTTATTTCAGTTCAGATTTTGTACAGACATTCCTTCCTCTGGGTTCTGAGGGTGTTTTCCCTGTTGTGAGCTGTGGGATCTCAATGGGGTTCTGGAGGATTGATTTCTTGAGCAAATCTTTATTTCAGTTCAGATTTTGTCCAGAGATTCCTTCCTGTGGGACAGAACCTTCATCCTGTGGGGATTTGTGGGATGGTCAAAAACTTCCTTGGAAAATCTCCCTGTGCAGGGGCTGCTGTGAGGATTTTTGGCACCGCTCTCATGGCTGGGGGCTCGGCAGGGCTTGCAGGGAGGGCAAAGGGCAGAGGAAGGAGCTCTCCCCATGGAGTGGGAACTTTTAAAAGGCCTGGTCTGTGCCTGAGGGAGTTTGGAAATCAGATCTGGGGTGGAACAGGTTGAAATAGAGTTTAAATCATCCTCCAGCAGGCACAAGGTGGTGGATTTCAAACATTCCCAAACATTCCCAAATATTCCCATATCCTTGTGCCTCCCTATAAACAACTCCTCACTCATCATCCCTGGTGCTGGGCTCTGCTCCCTGCCCCTTATCAGCCTCATCCACTGATTACAGCAACTTTTAATCTTGCATTTCTTTCCTCTGCTGGCTGCTCTCCCTTTGCCACAAGGTCTCCACGCTCTTCCAGAACCATCCATTAACCCTTCACTCCCCAGCATCACTGCTGAGATTTGCTCTCCTCCTGCTACCACTTCCCTCATCTCCATTTTGGCATTCCCAAAAATCCCCAAATCCACATAAGTCTCTTTTTTACCCCCAAATTTCTGCTTCTTCAGGTGGGAATTGTCAGGAAAATTTCATTTTGGCTCCCAAAATGTACCAAACTCTGCCATTCCTCCGGGGCAAGGAACACCAGGGAAGCACAGGTGGAGTTTTGGGATGGTTTTGTTGCCCACATCTGAGCGGGGGCTGTAGCCCAGGGCTGCCATTCTGAGGCACTCAATGTGGTTTTGCCCCAGAGATTTTTTTTTTTTCCCCTCTCCATTTCAAATTCCAGACCTCAGGAATGATGTAAAATATGTTTACAGACAGCATGGGTGCATCTGATTTTATTCTGATTCATTTCTGGAGGTCTGCTGCTGTTCCAAGGATAATTGACTTGGCTCAACGTGCTCCTGGACAGTTCTGTTTATAATTTTACAGCATCATTTTTAAACTTAAATCTTCTCTGATTTATAATATTTTTTAATAAAATCCAAAAATAAACACAAAAAAATTGATAAATCAGAGAAGGTTTAAGCTTTAAAATGTGCAGTGAGAACTTAAGATGCAGTAAAGACACAGAGCCTGTCCAAGACTGCTCAGATCCTGGGAATTGCACAATTCCAGGGAATATTGATGGGAAAAGATAAACTATTGACATCATTTCCATGTTAGGAAAGTGCACCTGACCCTCAGCTGCTGCCTAATGGAAACAAGAACCAAATCTTGGGTTTAGGAAGCCAAGGAAGCACCTGTGGAGTGATTGGTTTAACTTGGTTTCCAAAATTCCTGGTTTAGGGAATTTTGGGAGGAAAAAGGTTGAAAAAAGGCTGGTGAAGAGAGATTTGCAATTGCAGGGAATGATGAATGCTGGTGAATGCTTTGGTTTGTTCCACCTCACTTTAAATCCTCAAAATTTCACTTTCTTCATCAAAATCCACCAGCCTGTTCTCCTCCACAATTAACAGATCTGAAGATACAGGAGATAATTCCCATCTGCAAGTTCCTGGCTGATTTTTTTTTGGTGGCAGCTGAGATTTTCAGGTTTCAGGCCCTTTGTGTTGCTTGGGATGAACTCATCCTTCCAAGCACACCCAGAAAAACCCCCAAAATCTGGGAAAGGGAACTGTAAAATCAATGATTTGGATGCTCTCAGTCCTTGGAATGCTGTGGTGTTCCCAAAATCCATGAAACCCTCAGGTGGCCCAGGTTAATCTGCTCACAGAGCAGAAATTTCCTTTTAATCCACATGGAAACGTCCTTGAGTTGCACCAGGGGAGGATCAGGTTGGATTTTAGGAGCAATTTCTTCATGGAAAGAATGGAATCTTCATTCCACTGAATGGAAAGAACCTGTGGGTGTGGCACCTGTGGACATGGATTAGAGGAAATGGGCAGGGATTTGGTGATTTAAAGGGGATTTGGTGATTTAAAGGGGATTTGGTGATGCAAAAGGGATTTGGTGATGTAAAAGGGATTTGGTGATGTAAAGGGGATTTGGTGATGTAAAGGGGATTTGGTGATCTAAAAGGGATTTGGTGATTTAAGAGGGATTTGGTGATGTAAAAGGGATTTGGTGATGTAAAAGGGATTTCGTGATCTAAAAGGGACTTGGTGATGTAAAAGGGATTTGGTGATGTAAAAGGGATTTGGTGATGTAAAAGGGGATTTGGTGATGTAAAAGGGATTTGGTGATCTAAAGGGATTTGGTGATGTAAAAGGGGATTTGGTGATGTAAAAGGGATTTGGTGATCTAAAAGGGATTTGGTGATGTAAAAGGGATTTGGTGACACAAAAGGGATTTGGTGATCTAAAGGGATTTGGTGATTTAGAAGGGATTTGGTGATGTAAAAGGGATTTGGTGATGTAGAAGGGATTTGGTGATGTAAAAGGGATTTGGTGATCTAAAGGGGATTTGGTGATGTAAAGGGGATTTGGTGATCTAAAAGGGATTTGGTGATCTAAAAGGGATTTGGTGATGTAAAAGGGGATTTGGTGATGTAAAAGGGACTTGGTGATGTAAAAGGGATTTGGTGATGTAAAAGGGATTTGGTGATCTAAAAGGGATTTGGTGATGTAAAAGGGATTTGGTGATCTAAAAGGGATTTGGTGATGTAAAAGGGATTTGGTGACACAAAAGGGATTTGGTGATCTAAAGGGATTTGGTGATCTAAAGGGGATTTGGTGATTTAGAAGGGATTTGGTGATGTAAAAGGGATTTGGTGATGTAGAAGGGATTTGGTGATGTAAAAGGGATTTGGTGATCTAAAGGGGATTTGGTGATGTAAAAGTGATTTGGTGATCTAAAAGGGATTTGGTGATCTAAAGGGATTTGGTGATGTAAAAGGGACTTGGTGATGTAAAAGGGATTTGGTGATCTAAAGGGGATTTGGTGACACAAAAAGGATTTGGTGATCTAAAGGGGATTTGGTGATGCAAAAGGGACTTGGTGATCTAAAGGGACTTGGTGATGTAAAAGGGATTTGGTGATTTAAAAGGGATTTGGTGATCTAAGGGGATTTGGTGATTTAAAAGGGATTTGGTGATGTAAAAGGGATTTGGTGATTTAAAGGGGATTTGGTGATCTAAAGGGGATTTGGTGATCTAAGGGGATTTGGTGATGTAAAGGGGATTTGGTGATCTAAAAGGGATTTGGTGATGTAAAAGGGATTTGGTGATCTAAAGGGATTTGGTGATCTAAAGGGATTTGGTGATCTAAAAGGGACTTGGTGATCTAAAGGGATTTGGTGATCTAAAAGGGGATTTGGTGATCGAAAAGGGATTTGGTGATTTAGAAGGGATTTGGTGATGCAAAAGGGACTTGGTGATCTAAAAGGGATTTGGTGATGTACAAGGCATTTGGTGATGTAAAAGGGATTTGGTGATGTAAAAGGGACTTGGTGATCTAAAGGGGATTTGGTGATCTAAAAGGGATTTGGTGATGTAAAAGGGATTTGGTGACCTAAAAGGGATTTGGTGATCTAAAAGGGATTTGGTGATTTAAGAGGGATTTGGTGATGTAAAAGGGATTTGGTGACCTAAAAGGGATTTGGTGATGTAAAAGGGATTTGGTGATCTAAAAGGGATTTGGTGATGTAAAAGGGATTTGGTGATCTAAAAGGGATTTGGTGATGTAAAAGGGATTTGGTGACCTAAAAGGGATTTGGTGATCTAAAGGGGATTTGGTGATCTAAAAGGGATTTGGTGATCTAAAAGGTCTTTTCCATCCTCAATAGCTCTGTGACTCCGTGATTTCTGGTTGGAATTTCCTCTCAAATGTGATTTTTGTCCATAAATGCTGAGGATTTGTGTGCTTGCCATGATTTTTCCTGATGTGTGGAAAGGTTCAGTTTTTTTCCCAGCTCTCTGGGGTAAATTTAAGTCTCTTTCAATCCCCTTATGCTCAAAATCTGCTCTTTGTTGCATTTTCTGGGAATTTCCCAAATTGCAGAGAAGACCAATGAGAGAGAGAGAGAGCATGGGATTCCCAGGGTCTGAAATTCCAGCTCCCTGTGGATCCATGTGCAAACCCAGAGTGTTGGATTTGATTTCCTTCTTGCTGCCTCAACAGAAAAAATGGAATTGCTTCAACTTGAGAAAGGAATTCTGTCTCCAGGTTTTCCATGGGATGTGCCCCAGGATGTCCAAATGATGCACAGAAAACCTCCCAAGGACCCAAGGAAGCTTCTCCAAGGTCAAATTTCCAGGTGTAGCCAGAAGGAGAAGGGAATGTAGCACAGCTGCAGGAGAACAGGCTGAGATGCCAAAGGCAGCAGGAATTCTGCTGTGGTTTCCCCAGTGCCAGGGGGATAAATTCCTGTTCTGCTGGGATGAAGGATGCTCTGGATCCTCCCTCATTCCGTGTCTGATCCTTGGTTGGATGAAGGAATGTGCCAGGGCTGAGCCTCAAACAGAGCAGGTGCTGCATGAGAGAGAAAATGGTAAAAATCAGGCTTGGAGAATTCAGATTAACTCAGAGAATTCAGGTTTTAAATGTATTCAAGTGCTCAGGCAGTCCTTGGGATTTGTGTGGCATTTAATACCTCAAACACCTTTCCAAATCTGGATTGACTGGGGAGATTATTCCCACTTGTGGTCTCATTATAGGGAAAATGATCATCAATCAAAACATTTTCCCTTTTTTCTGTCCCTTCAAACACTGCCTGGCAAAGCAGGGTCCAAAATTGGGAGGTTTACTTTGGGAAGAGCCTGGTGGAGTTCACAGAGCTCTGGGAGAGGTCACTGAAGGAATTATGGTAGGATTTGTCTCTCTCTGATACCAAAAATAATCCCTAAAATAAAGTTTTATTTTACCCTAATCCAGGTGCAGCCCCTCAGTGGTGTGGGCAGATCCTTTCCCTCCTAACCTCCTCCACAGGTTTTCATTTTCCTGGGATGGGATTTGGCACATCCCAGTGTGTCCCAGTGTCCCCCATGTGCCATCCCCTGGGACATCCCCTGTTCTCCCACATCCTCTGGCAGCTCTGGAATTCTGCTCATGGAGAAGTTCAGAGAGACTCAAACACCTTCTCCCAATTCCCAGCTTTATCCAGGCTGTGGGATTCCAGGATCAGGGGCCTTTTTTATGGAAACCTTTTATGGTTTCAGCCCCATGAGGGAATGGGATTTTCCAGCTCGATCCTGCTTTTTATGGCCAGGATGTGTTGATATTCTGCTTCCTACTTGCATTTTTCTAGAAATAATGGAATTCATGAAATAATGGAATTGTTAAGGTTGGAAAAGTTCTCCAAGACCATTGAGTCCAATTTTTGCCACAGGCACCATGGATCTGTGTCCCCAAGTGCCACATCCAGAGGGATTTTAAATCCCTCCAGGCATGGGGACTCCACCCTGGACAACCCTTCCAGTGAAGGAATTTTTAAATCCGAGCCCAATCCGAGCATTCCAGAGTTTTCCTGGTCTCTTTCTTGGATCCTTTCTCTGGTCACAAAGATTTGGGATTCGCACTGCGGATCCTCCTTGTGGAGGTTAACCCATGGATCTGCTAAGAAAGCAAAGTTTGGGAGATCCAAAGGGATCCTGGAGGGGCTCCATCGTCTCCCATCTGGATGGGATCACCAACAATTACTGGATAATCATTTACCTGTAGGATCTCCCAACACTCTACCCCGGTGTCTTCCCTAAAATCCCAACAGGATTCCTTTTTTCCTGTTTTCCTTTCCTGTTTTCCAAAGAAAAATCCCTTTCCTTTCCTTTCCTTTCCTTTCCTTTCCTTTCCTTTCCTTTCCTTTCCTTTCCTTTCCTTTCCTTTCCTTTCCTTTCCTTTCCTTTCCTTTCCTTTCCTTTCCTTTCCTTTCCTTTCCTTTCCTTTCCTTTCCTTTCCTTTCCTTTCCTTTCCTTTCCTTTCCTTTCCGTTTTCCAAAAAAAAAATCCTCTTTTCCTTTGCTCCCTCCAGGTTCTTCACCATTTTTACACCAAAAAGCCACCAGGGCTCACAGATTGAAACCCCTGGGTGAGCCACCAGGACTTCCCAAAGACCCCAAAAAGGCTTTTCCAGGAGGTTCCTGACCCTGAGCAGCTTCGGGATGCACCAGGAAGAGCTTCCAAAGCCAACCCCAGACTGAGATGACATCAGAGTTTTTGGGATGGTGCCACTCTGCCTCCTTGTTTTTGGAAACCCTGTGGTTCCCAGCATCCAGAGCACTTCCTTGTCCTTCACCCCCTTGAGCAGCTCCAGGAGAGCTGGAGAGGGACTTGGGATAAGGGATGGAGGGACAGGACACAGGGAATGGCTTCCTGCTGGGAAAGGGGAGATTTGGGTGGGATTTGGGACAAAATTCCTGGCTGGGCCAGTGGGGAGGGGCTGGGCTGGAATTCCCAGAGAAGCCGTGGCTGCCCCTGGATCCCTGGAAGCGTCCAAGGAAAGGTTGGACAGGGCTTGGACAGTGGAAGATGGCAGGGGTGGAGCTGGGTGGCGTTTCCCACCCAAAGCGTTCCGTGACTCCATGGTTTGGGTGCTGTCCCCGAGGACAGGGCACGACACTCACACGGGGACCCGGTGTCCCCCCTGGTGGCATCTGCAGCTCCTCCGTGCCGCGGTTTTGGCGCTCGGACGGGCCCCGGGCGGATCCCGGCGTTCCACAGGGAGCTCCGGGCCAGAGCCTTGGCGGGCGGGGCCCCGGCATGGGCAGGTCGGGCCCAGCTGGGACGGACCGGGGGCTTTGGGACAGGATCAGCGTCTGCAGAGAGGGACAGCTGGGAAAGGGAAAGGAAAAAGGGGGAAAAGGGGGAAAGGGAAAGGGAAAGGGAAAGGGAAAAGGGGAAAGGGAAAAGGGAAAAGGGAAAGGGAAGGGGAAAGGGAAAAGGGAAAGGGAAAGGGAAAGGGAAAGGGAAAAGGGGAAAGGGAAAAGGGAAAGGGAAAGGGGAAAGGGAAAGGGAAAGGGAAAGGGGAAGGGGGAAAGGGAAAGGGAAAGGGAAGGGGAAAGGGAAAGGGAAAGGGAAAGGGGAAGGGAAGGGGGAAAGGGAAAGGGAAAGGGAAGGGGAAAGGGAAAGGGGAAGGGAAGGGGAAAAGGGAAAGGGAAAGGGAAGGGGAAAGGGAAGGGGAAGGGGAAGGGAAGGGGAAGGGGAAGGGAAAAGGGAAAGGGGAAAGGGGAAAGGGGAAGGGGAAAGGGGAAGGGGAAAGGGGAAGGGGAAAGGGGAAAGGGAAAGGGAAGGGAAAGGGAAAGGGGAAAGGGAAAGGGGAAAGGGAAAGGGAAGGGGAAAAGGGAAGGGGAAAAGGGAAAGGGGAAAAGGGAAGGGGAAAAGGGAAAGGGGAAAAGGGAAGGGGAAAGGGAAAGGGAAGGGGAAAGGGAAAGGGAAAGGGAAAGGGAAGGGGAAAGGGAAAGGGAAGGGGAAGGGGAAGGGAAGGGGAAGGGGAAAAGGAAAGAGGAAAAGGGAAATGGGAAGGGGGAAAGGGAAGGGAAAAGGGGAAAGGAAAGGGGAAAGATAAAAGGGAGGAGGAAGGGGAAGGGGAAAGGGGGAAGGGGAAGGGGAAAGATAAAAGGAAAGAGGAAGGGGAAAAGGGAAGGGGTAGGGGGAAAGGAAAGGGAGAGGGGAAGGGGGAAGCGGAAATGGGGAAAGGGAAGGGGAAAGGGAAAAGGGAAGGGGAAAGGGAAGGGAAGGGAAGGGAAGGGAGAAGGGAAGGGAAGGGAAGGGAAGGGAAGGGAAGGGAAGGGAAGGGAAGGGAAGGGAAGGGAGAAGGGAAGGGAGAAGGGAAGAAGGAAAAGAAGGGAAGGGAAGGGAGGAGAGGAGAGGAGAGGAGAGGAGAGGAGAGGAGAGGAGAGGAGAGGAGAGAAGAGAAGAGAAGAGAAGAGAAGAGAAGAGAAGAGAAGAGAAGAGAAGAGAAGAGAGAAGAGAAATCATTATCCCAAAAGCTTCAGAGGGACTGAAAACATTGGAATCCACTGAGAAATTCTGTACATTCTATAAATTTTATTCCCAAATTCTATTCTATGGATTCTATAGAAAAATATAAATAAATATCTATTCTATACATTTTATTCCTAAAGGATATTCCTTAATGATAGTAAAAAAGAAATATTATAAATATATAAATAAATAGATATTAAAAAAATAAAGCCATAATTTGCTTTATTTGAGCTGTGTTCTGGTGCCTTAAGGACAGAAGGACCCAATTAGTAATGGGTGCCAGTAAAGCTAAACCCACATTAATTAATTCTCCACACCAATTAATATGTTAATGCCCAGATTCTCCCCTGTGCACATCCCCAGTCTTGCTCCGTGTTCAAAGACTCAAAAGTGTAAAGTATGAAGTTTATTTTTACTTTTATTTAGGGTAAAAAGTAAGCCAAGGGAAAAAAAAATCTTAACAAATCCATTTATTCCTTGGGAAAAATCCCAAAAATTCAAAAAAATCCCCCAGGTTCTGGAAAAGAACAGCTTGGGTTTGGTTTATTGTTTTTTGGTTGGGTTTTTTTTTTTTGTTTGTTTGTTTTGGTTTGTTTTGGTTTTTGGTTTGGTTTTGTTGTTGTTGTTTTTGGGGTTTTTGTGGTGTTGTTTTTGTTCTTTTGGATTGGTTTTTTTTTTACTGATCCAAGTGATTTGGTAAGAATAGAGAACAAACACCGTTATGATGAATAAAGAAAATTCAAAGTAAGGTTTATAAAATATAAATACACATTGCACAGGACTGTGTGCTGGGAATCCTGGATTTTCCTGTCAGCTTTTCCCACCTCCTGGAGATGGGATTTTGTCTCAATTTCCCATCAAAATGCCGTGGAAAAAATGCACAAATCCCACAATCTCATGACCTTGGGACACAGGCAGGGAGGCAGGGAGGACTCATCCTGTAAAAAAGAAATTATTTAAGGACTAAAAATCATTTTTAGAAGGGCTAAAAATAATTTGGGAGCAGCTGTGAGGGTGGGGCAGTGTCTGGAGCAGCCAAAGGCAGCCCAGTGATGCTGACATGGATCCACCCCTTTGACCTTTCCCATAAAATATTTGGGAATTTTTCCCTGGATAAAGAGGGGCAGGAATTCCCTGGGCCCTGCACAGCCCTGGGGGTTCCACGTGCAGAACGTGGCCCTTCATTAGAAACCCAATTAACTCCACTCACTGTCATTTACTCTCTATGCTAATTGGGCCAATTGACTTTCATTTATTCCAAATGAAGAGCCAGCCTGGCCACATTTGCTGCTTTCCATGATTAGCAACAAAGCCCAGACCCTCCCAGGTTTCCCCATTCACCACATGGAAACCTGGAGCCAGTGGATGTCCCCTTCATTAAGTTTTTATTCTTATTTTTTTTCTCATTCACCACATGTAAATGTGGAACCAGTGGATGTCCCCTTAATTAGGTGTTTATTCTTATTTTTTTTTTCCATTCAGCAATGGAAACCTGGAGCCAGTGGATGTCCCCTTAAGTTTTTATTCTTATTTTTTTCCCCATTCAGCAATGGAAACCTGGAGCCAATAGATGTCCCCTTAATTAAGTTTTTATTCTTATTTTTTTTTCTCATTCAGCATATGGAAACCTGGAGCCAGTGGATGTCCCCTTCATTAGGTGTTTATTATTAATTTTTTTTCCCATTCACCACATGGAAACCTGGAGCCAGTGGATGCCCCCTTAATTAGGTGTTTATTCTTATTTTTTTTTCCCCATTCACCACATGGAAACCTGGAGCCAGTGGATGTCCCCTTAAGTTTTTATTCTTTTTTTTTTCTTATTCACCACATGTAAACCTGGAGCCAGTGGATGTCCCCTTCATTAAGTTTTTATTCTTAATTTTTTTCTCATTCACCACATGGAAACCTGGAGCCAGTGGATGTCCCCTTAATTAAGTTTTTATTCTTTTTTTTTTCCCCATTCACCACATGGAAACTGGAGCCAGTGGATGTCCCCTTAATTAAGTTTTAATTCTTATTTTGGTGGAGCCTCCTGAGCTGGGAGCTCCATCTAATAACCCCTTTTTACATCTTCATTGTTGGCTGGAATATTCTTTATTCTCACCTACACCCTGCTCTTGGACCATTGATCTGTTTGAGGCTTTCATTTTCATTTGAGCTCGGTGTTTGCTCGCCTTGGGCATTTTTATTCTTTCATCCCAGGCTATTCTTCTTCTAAGGATTTGCTGAAAGATTTGCACATTAAGCTTCTTTATTTGACTTGATTAAATAAGAGCCTTTTCAAAGGCCTTTCATTTCAGCCAGGTTTCCCAATGCTACCTTTAATAAGAAATGGAAATTAATTTTGGATTATACCTAGAGAATTATATATTTTTTTATTTTTTCTAAGGGATCAGCCTGGTTTAACCTCAGTTTTATTGTTTTTAGTGCTCATTTATGGCTGCCCAGCCTGGCACAGCTGCTCAGGGCTCCAGTGGAGTCCCCATCTCTGGAGGAATTAAAAATCCCTGTGCAAGTGACACTTGGGGACACGGATCAGTGGTGGCAGGGGATGATCTTAAACATCTTTTTGAACTTCAGCAATTCCACGATTCTCTAATTTTTTATCACTTTTATTTATTATTATTTATCATTATTATTTATCACTTAAATTATTATTATTTATCACTTAAATGCTTTTTTTTTTAAATTATTATTATTTATCACTTAAATGCTTCCTGATTGCAGTTGCAGCTTAATTAATTTGAAGATCACATAACTTTGCTTAAAATCCAGAGAGAGAAAACCAAATTCATTTTTTTTTTACCCTGAGCTGAGATCCTTCCACTGCTGGCCTGGCAATAAAACAACTCAAAATTGGGAAGTTGTGGTGGGCTGTTGGAGCCCTGGATGCTGAGAATTTTAGATTTTCTGTGACTTTTTGGCAGGAGAACACTGCATTTGACCTGAGGCCAGGGAGGAAGCTTCCAAAATTAAATTAATTAATTACAGAACTGGGATTGTGGCTGTGGAGTTTGAATAATATCCCACGGTGGAAAATTTAGAGTTTGAAGTTTTAGAATATAGTAATATATATATAAAAACAAGATGGAGGGTTTAGGGCAGGGGTTGGTCCTTCTTCACCTTCCTCTCCATGGTTTTGGGTGGTTTTGTGTAATTGGATAAAAAAGCCCACATTGCAGGCCATGGGTGGTTGGTTATTGGGTTAAAAGTAAAAAATAGTTAAAAGTAAAAAAGTAAAAAAGTAAAAAAAAGTTAAAAGTAAAAATAATTCAGGTGTCATTTCTTAACTAAGGAAACTTAGGAAAATTTTCCTTCTTAACTGGAAAATTTATCCTTCGAAGGCCTTGGAGAGGGAGAGACAGGGCTCCATTTTTATTTTGTGAAGTGCTGCAGAACTCAGGGGTTTTGAGGCTGGAAAATAGATAAAAACCAATCAACTTCTGAGTCCAAACAAGAAATACCATCAGGAGCATTTAATCCTGAGCCTGGCAAAAAGAGGTGAAGGGCTGGCAGTGTGAGGACGCCGATCTGCAGAGCGAGCAGGCCCCGAGACAGAGGCCCAGCCGTGCCATTTTCTGTGGCCCAGCAGTGCCAGAATCCATTTCCATGCACACGAGGCTGGATTTGGTCAGGAGGATGCGTCCCCATGGGCAGACAACGCCTCTCTTTCCTGGAACCCTTTTCTAGCTCAGCTCCCAGGCCTTGCCCGCCCGCCGTGCTCGGGGAGCGCCAGGTCCGCGCCCAGAGCCGCTGAGCGCGGCCTCCTCTGCCGCCTCTTTGTTTCCAGAGCCCGTGGAGCTTTCTGGAATGCCTTCCCCGGGCTCCTCTCAGGGCAGCATGTCCTATTTTAGCACAATGAGCTCTCAGTGTTGAGGTTTGGGGCTGCTCGGGCTCGGGGCGTGCAGAACGAACGAACGAACGAACGTCAAACGAAGTGGTGAGATTTTGGGAAGAGACGCAAAAGTCACGGAAGGACTGGGGCAGCACTTTGTGAAAAGCATGAAAAGGGATTTTTGGGGTAGAGGAGAGGTAAATTGAGGTAAATTTGAGAGTTTTTTGCAGATTGAGGAGTTGTAGCAAGACAATGGCCACATTCAGCCGATGCACAATCCAGCCGGGACAATGGACACAAACAATGGATAATGGACATATTCAGAAATGGGCTTGGTATATCCCCAAAAAAGACACAAGAAGAGGAGGCAGCAGCACTCAGCAAGTTTGTAACAGCAAGCTTGGGAAAGTAAGGAAAAAGTGAGCCATGGGTGGGCCAGATGAGCACAGCAAGAAAAATGAGATGATCCAATCAGCATTGGAATTTAGATGTGTGAACAGCTAGGGTTAACCAATCATGTGTTAGCTAGAGACACCTGGACAGCAGAGATTTATTAGAAATATAGTAATAATAATAATAATAATAATAATAATAATAATAATAATAATAATAATAATAATAATAATAATAATAATAATAATAATAATAAATATCATAAATATAATAAATATAATAAAATATCTTTTTAGGGATAATAAATTTAGCTTCACTGGATCATATTGGTTTTGATCATATGGTGTGATGTCCCTGAACCTCCACACCCCACAGTAAATGAATAAATTTAAAACTCAGCAAGTTTGTCACAGCAAGCTTGGGAAAGTGAGAAAAAAGTGAGCCATGGGTGGGCCAGACCAACACAGCAAGAAAAATGAGATGATCCAATCAGCATTCGAATTTAGATGTGTGAACAGCTAGGGTTAACCAATCATGTGTTAGCTAGAGACACCTGGACAGCAGAGATTTATTAAAAATATTATTATAAATATAATAATAATTATATAATATAATAAATATAATAAAAATTATAAAATAATAAAATATATTTTTAGGGATAATAAATTTGGCTTCACTGGATCATATTATGGTTATGGTGTGATGTCCCTGAACCTCCACAGTAAATGAATAAATTTAAAACTCAGCAAGTCTGTAACAGCAAGCTTGGGAAAGTAAGAAAAAAGTGAGCCATGGGTGGGCCAGATGAGCACAGCAAGAAAAATGAGATGATCCAATCAGCATTCGAATTTAGATGTGTGAACAGCTAGGGTTAACCAATCATGTGTTAGCTAGAGACACCTGGACAGCAGAGATTTATAAGAAATATTGTTATAAATATAATAATAATTATATAATATAATAAATATAATAAAATATCTTCTTAGGGATAATAAATTTGGCTTCATTGGATCATATTGGTTATGGTGTGATGTCCCTGAACCTCCGGACCCCAGAGTAAATTAATAAATTTACAGGGTCACTGTAAAGAAATGAATAAATTTATAGGGTCACTGTAAAGAAATTACAGGGTCACTGTAAATAAATTAATAAATTTACAGGGTCATTGTAAAGAAATGAATAAATTTACAGGGTCACTGTAAATAAATTACAGGGTCGCTGTAAATAAATGAATAAATTTACAGGGTCACTGTAAATAAATTACAGAGTCACTGTAAATAAATTAATACATTTACAGGGTCACTGTAAATAAATTAATAAATTTATAGGGTCGCTGTAAATAAATTACAGAGTCACTGTAAATAAATTAATAAATTTACAGGGTCACTGTAAATAAATTCCAGGGTCATTGTAAAGAAATTAATAAATTTACAGGGTCACTGTAAATAAATAGTCATTGTAAATAAATGAATAAATTTACAGGGTCACTGTAAATAAATGACAGGGTCATGTAAATAAATGAATAAATTTACAGGGTCACTGTAAATAAATTACAGGTCACTGTAAATAAATGAATAAATTTACAGGGTCACTGTAAATAAATGACAGGGTCACTGTAAATAAATTAATACATTTACAGGGTCACTGTAAACAAATGAATAAATTTATAGGGTCACTGTAAATAAATGAATACATTTACAGGGTCACTGTAAATAAATGACAGGGTCATTGTAAATAAATTAATAAATTTACAGGGTCACTGTAAATAATAAATTTATAGGGTCACTGTAAATAAATTAATAAATTTATATGGTCACTGTAAATAAATTCCAGGGTCACTGTAAATAAATGAATAAATTTACAGGGTCACTGTAAATAAATGAATAAATTTACAGGGTCACTGTAAATTCCAGGGTCATTGTAAATAAATGAATAAATTTACAGGGTCACTGTAAATAAATTAATAAATTTACAGGGACATTGTAAATAAATTACAGAGTCATTGTAAATAAATTAATATATTTACAGGGTCACTGTAAATAAATTCCAGGGTCACTCTAAATAAATGAATAAATTTACAGGGTCATTGTAAATAAATTAATAAATGTACAGGGTCACTGTGAATAAATAGTCACTGTAAATAAATGAATAAATGTACAGGGTCATGTAAATAAATGAATAAATTTACAGGGTCATCTCTGCCCCGACAGTGCCGTCCCTTTGCCACCCACAGCCATGTCTGGGATCATTCCCTCATTGCAGCCAGCCCAGGGCAGGGTTTGGTGTCCTCCTCCTTCCCAGATTTTTCCCTGAGGGCAAATCTCAGCTGCAGCATCCCTGGGGCTGCCAGCATCCCTGGGGGTGCAAATCTCTGCTCTCCAGCATCCCTGGGGGTGCAAATCTCTGCTCTCCAGCATCCCTGGGGCTGCAGCATCCCTGGGGGTGCAAATCTCTGCTCTCCAGCATCCCTGGGGGTGCAAATCTCTGCTTTCCAGCATCCCTGGGGGTGCAAATCTCTGCTTTCCAGCATCCCTGGAGGTGCAAATCTCTGAGCTGCAGCATCCCTGGGGGTGCAAATCCCTGCTCTCCAGCATCCCTGGGGGTGCAAATCTCAGCTCTCCAGCATCCCTGGGGGTGCCTGCCCTGCTGGGATCCCCCCGGTGACACCTGCAGGGATTTCACCTTCCTGAGCAGAGCGGATCCTCCTCTCCTCTTCCTCTGGGCCTCCTGCCTGCTCAGGTCCGGGGTGTGCCCTCCTCCCTTCCTCCTCCTGCGGAGCAGAACACAAGAATCTCAATAAATGCCGTGCACTTGCTGCCCTGAGGGCGATAAAAGTCAAATCCTTTGGGATGTTGCCCCTGAAAAGATAACACATTTTTTATCTTGCCCCAAAGAGCACGATCGGGGCTCAGGGGAAGGTGGGAACTTGATTTTTTTTATTTTAAAGCTGTGATAAATCCTGGCACTCAAACATAAACTCAGGACTCAGTGATTTAAGCTGAGTCTCCCTAAGATTGTTACAGCTCCTTGGGGAAATCCACAGAAAATTAAGTTGAGCTGAATCGATTTGGGAGTTTTCAGTGAAGTCTGTGTGACCTGAAGTGTAAAAAAGGCTGGGGCTGCCCCTCCAACAACATTTACTCACTGTTTGCTGTAGCCAAATAATTCTACACGTGTGTTTGCATATTTTTGGTATTAATACATGCAGCTGCTATGAAATTCAGCACAATTAACTGGCAGAACAGAATATTCCAGAGTGTGAAAATTCAGTGAATTGCACTGGAATATGGCCAGGGGCCACATTTTTTTTTCAATATCAGGAGTAAAATCCAGACTCTGAGGCATGATTATTTCTCAGCACTCAGGCAGATTCATTATCCAAAGGCATTCATTCCACGTTCAAATTCCATTATATGGAATCTGGAAATTTAAAGCAGAAGCTCTGAGGGGTTCTCCCAGTGAAAAAGCGCAGCAGGAATACAAACCCATGGATATAAAGGGTGGAAATGGACTCTAAAACAGCTTTTATCCTGTAAAAAACCAGGATTACACCACCAGCACATGCCCAGTATTCCCTCATCCCAGTCCAGGAGCATAAAGTCAAACCCAGCCTTATTTCAAATAGGAAACTGAGGAAAACCTGTTTATAAACACACACACACAAAAAAAAAACCCAACAGAGAAGATTCCATCCAAAATATTCCAGCTGGGAATTAATTGGTCATTTTGGTGGACCTGGCAGTGGTTGGACTTGGTGATCTTAAAGGTGTTTTCCATCCTAAATGATGCTGTGACCTTTGGGTGGAAGGCAGCCATGGCCTTGTGACTGCAGATATTATTGTAAAATATAATTGTAAAATATAATTGTAAAATATCATTGTAAAATATCATTGTAAAATATTGCTGCAAATTATTACTGTAAATTATTAGTGTAAATTTAGGTATCTTCTGCTGTGTTCTGGAGTTCAAATCGTGGTGTCAGTCACCCCCACAACCCCAGCTCCAGGTCAGGAAAACAGAAGGAGTGAGGGAGAGGAGAAAGGATGGCAGGTCTCACTCCCAGTGCTGAATTGCTGTTTCTCACCCCATTTTCCTCTTAAAGGTGTTTTCCATCCTAAATGATGCTGTGACCTTTGGGTGGAAGGCAGCCATGGCCCTGTGACTGCAGATATTATTGTAAAATATCATTGCAAAATATCATTGTAAAATACTATTGTAAAATACCATTGTAAAATATCATTGTAAAATATCATTGTAAATTATTACTGTAAATTATTACTGTAAATTATTACTGTAAATTTAGGTATCTGCTGCTGTGTTCTGGTGTCCAAATTGTGGTGCCCCACAACCCCAGCTCCAGGTCAGGAAAGGACAAGGAGTGAGGGAGAGGAGAAAGGATGGCAGATCTCACTCCCGGTGCTGAATTGCTTTTTCTCACCCCATTTTCCTCTTAAAGGTGTTTTCCATCCTAAATGATGCTGTGACCTCGGGGTAGAAGGCAGCCATGGCCCTGTGACTGCAAATATTATTGTAAAATATCATTGTAAAATATCATTGTAAAATATTAGTGTAAATTATTAGTGTAAATTATTAGTGTAAATTTAGGTATGTTCTGCCATGTTCTGGTGTCCAAGTCGTGGTGTCAGGTCACTCCCACAACCCCAACTCCAGGTCAGGAAAAGACAAGGAGTAAGGGAGAAGAAAAAGGATGGCAGGTCTCACTCCCAGTGCTGAATTGCTGTTTCTCACCCCATTTTCCTCTTAAAGGTGTTTTCCATCCTAAATGATGCTGTGACCTTTGGGTAGAAGGCAGCCATGGCCCTGTGACAGCAAACATTATTGTAAAATGTAATTGTAAAATATCATTGTAAAATATCATTGTAAATTATTAGTGTAAATTATTACTGTAAATTATTAGTGTAAATTTAGGTATGTTCTGCCATGTTCTGGTGTCCAAATCGTGGTGTCAGTCACCCCCACAACCCCAACTCCAGGTCAGGAAAAGACAAGGAGTGAGGGAGAGGAAAAGGGAGGGCAGATCTCACTCCCAGTGCTGAATTGCTGTTTCTCACCCCATTTTCCTCCCTTAAGGAATATTTTTGATTCCCACACAGCCACAGAGAGCTGGGCTGGCTTTTGAGCAGCGCCAAGAGGGAGAGAGGAGCGAGGGGATGCGGGAGGACGGGGCCGCTGCGAGTCCTTCTCACGCGAGCAATTCCCTCTTTGTCAGGAGCGGGGGGCCCGCTCCCAGCAGAACAATTAACCGGAATAATTATTTTCTCGTCGGGTAAACACTCCAGGACAATATGCAACTGTTTTTTAGAGGCAGCTCGTGGCCATAAATCCCCCCAGAGCAGGGGAGGGGGGAAGGACGTGGCGTTGTGGCCGTGAGAAGGAGCAGGGCCCTGTCTTGAGGCGCGAGGCCGCGGCCTTGGCGCGGCTCCAGCGCTCTCGGTGGAATTGGAATTCATTATTCATCATCAAGTGGGAGGCAAATCTTTTGATTTATTGGCAAGCAGCAGCACAAACAGCAGATGCCTTCCAGCAGAACTGTGCACGACAGAAACGCCCTCCTGGGCCTCTGGAGGCAGATCAGAGCCCCACAGAAAAATTTCCTAACTCGCTGCAGATAAAAATCTTTCACTTCCCCTATGCAATATTTCTTTGTGCCCAGAGAGGCAAATCCTTCCTTGCTGATCTCTGGAGGGTTTGGTTTTTGTTTTTTGGGGTTGTTTTTTTTTTTTTTTTTTGTCGACAACAAAAAGCTGCTTGGACAATTCAGGCAGAAAACAAACCAGACCTACCAGAAATCATGGCTGTGATAAATGACAGCACCGATAGTCACAGCTATAATTCTATTGAGGGGTTTTGCTAACCCCTTCCAGGCAATTTGTAATGCAAGCCTGTCTGCATCTCCTCTCTATCACCTCGCCACTCCCTTGGCTGCACGTCTGGTCCTTGCTGTTCTTCATTTACCTGCTCAGTGACTGGGAAGCTTTTCCCACACTGTCCCAGCTAAATCCAAAACCTCCCAGGGAAACTTATTTAGGATCTCTGTCCCATCTCCTTCACTCCCTCAGGGGGGTTTTCACTGAACTCCTGGGCGCAGTTTTTAGGCTACAAACTCCTGCCTTTCTGAGAAACCGGCAAAGAAATCCAGCAGAAACAAAAAATAGGCTTCAGTGATGATGCAGATTGCAAATGAGCCCCGTTTTTTAGGCACTCCCCAGCTCTGGGCCAGAGTTGTTGCTCTCCCCAGTGAGCAGTGCCCAGCTGCTGTCTGGAAATGTATTGATCTGTTTTTCAAAGCTAAAGAGCCAATTATGGTCTCATGACCTGCAGAATGTGTTTTGTGTTCCCACTTAGAGGACTCCATTTCCACCGCACTGCCTAATTGAGAATTGACTGCAGCTCCTTCTGCTTCCTGTATTTCTCTCTCTTTTTTTTGGCTGAACAAGGATGAGTTCCCTGCTGGGAATTCTCAGCAGTGTTGTTTTGGTGCTGCTGTGGGAGGGAGAAGGCAGCTGATGACTCAAAAGGCCAGCCAAGAAAACAGATGAAAACTCTTCGTCATCACAGATGACGAGAAGTGACTTTTTCCATGAGCAGTTTTAAACTTAAAGGGATTTAGATTAAATATTAGGAAAATAATCCCTCCCTGTGAGGGTGGGGAGGTCTTGGGCTGGAATTCCCAGAGAAACTGTGGCTGCTCCTGGATCCCTGGAAGTGTCCAAGGCCAGGTTGGACACTGGGGCTTGGATCAACCTGGGACAGTGGAAGGTGTCAGGGTTGGCACTGGATGAATTTTAATGTCTCTTTCCACCCAAACCATTCTGGAATTCCATGAACTCTGCCATTTAAATGTCAATATTTCATCTTGATGTGATGAGCAGCAGAGTCCTCCTCTCCCTTTGGACCAGAAAACAACTGCAGAGCGAGTTCGAGCTCCGAGGAGATTTTAACCAGGCCCAAGAGTTAGGAAAAGCTTATTTTTGGTGGATTACCTCTTAAATTCTGCAAAATCCAACCTGGAATTAGGGAGATTAGGCAGCAGCCAGTGACTCCTCTCACACCTTGCTTTGATGGTGGCGTCAGGCATTCCTTTGATGTGATCCTGTTTGTTCACAAGGAATTCTCCACAGCTTCCAAGGCACTCAAATGGGAAAAAAAAGGTTTTGTTGGCTCGGGGATTCTCAGTCAAGGTGCTGGGCTAGAAGAGCTCCCTGCAGTCCTTTTCTCTCCACCATCACTTTGGGTTTTTGCGAGTTCTGCCACGTCCTGAAGGAAACCCCCACACCCCTGTTCCTTTCCAGACCGCAGCAATTCCCGGCCGGATTCCCTTTGGCAAACCCCTGGAAACCGCTTCTATTGTTGCAGAGTCTCGTTTTACAGCTGCTCTCCTTCCTCCTGAACATCCATTTTACATGAGGAGAGGTTGTTTTGCCCTCGAGCTCCTGGAATCCGGCGCATCTGAAAGGAGAATCGCCGGCGGGGTGGGAGATTTTTATCTCGGGATTCTGTTCCGCCTTCCAAGCTGAGCCCTGGTCAGGCAGGGTCTGAGGTGGATTCCTGGGAGGCTCCAAACCAAGATTTGGCACCCCAAAGGGGCACCAGGACCACGGTGATATTTTCCTGCCACTCCCACTAAAACCTGGGGGATGCTCAAGGTGTGACACTCCAGGGACACAGCTGGAGAGCTGAATAATGACATTTTTTCCGTGCTCTAACAGCCCCAGAATTAACTTGCTTGATTCCCAATTCCCAAAATTGGTGAAGTCCTCCCACAGAACCTCAGTGGGAGGATTTTTGGGAAGGCACAGCAAAGCGTCCCTGCAAAAGAAGAAGCACCAGAACACCCTTGTGGGAGTGGGAGGCTGGGTCAGCACCTGAAATGAGGCAGCACCTGTGCTGCTGAATAATCAGCACAGATGAGCCTGGGCAGCAGCAATTACCTGCAGCTTAAGGGATATTAAAGGCAGATCCTCAATAAACAGGCAAATCTCACAGAATTCCTCTCTCTCCTCGAAATAATCCTCTGTAATTGAGGATAAATGGCAGATTTGCAGGAGCACTTGGCATTAAAACATTCCCCACTAATGGAGACGGGCTGGGATCTCACTGGGGAGAGGCGAACAGGGAGTGTATTTATTATTTACTGTTCCATTATTTCAGGTGAATCGTTTTCACCTGCTCAATGCTGGGACAGGCGACTTTTAAACTCTTCAAACGAGGCTTGTCCCACTTTTTTTCATGGCTCAGGAGAATCCTGAACCTCCCAGAAATGGCACAGCAAAATCCTGAACCTCACAGAAACCTCTGGGAGCTGCTACACAAAACCACTGAGCACGGCTGGGAAACAACACCAGGTTTGTTTGCAGCAGGAAGCAAGTTCGGTGCAAATATTCGCTTAAAAACCTCAAAGAACGCGACCCAAAAAGTGGTGTTGGAGTTGGGCAACATCCCACAGAAAGAGGGTGAGGTGGAAACTGGGAAGCTCTTTGAAGTAGTGCAACATCCAAGGAGCAGGGGACGCGGATTAAAACGTGATTCATAAAAGGCTTTTGCTCGGGGAGCTCCCGGTGGGTTTGGGAAGGAGCTCCCAGAGTGCTTGGCCAAACAATCCCTGGCTGGGGTAATTCCTGAGCTGATTGTTCCTGAGTGCAGGGATAATCTTGGCTCTGGTTGGTATTTATTTAAACAAAACCTGGGTGTTTTTTGTTTTTTGTCGCGGCTCCGTGGGTTCCCAAGGTTTTTGTTGGCACGGCCCAGAGGAATCTCCTGCTCGGGCTGTGGATTCCCACAGAAAACAGGGAATGCTCAGGAGGATCCATTGCCTCTTTGCCAGGCTTGGATTAATGGCAGCCTCATCCTTGTCACACCAGCTGGGCTGAGGTGACCCCTGGGGAGTGTCAGAGGTGGCATTTCCCGGGATTTACACAAGAAAAGGGTGAGCTCTTCCCACAGGTCACTGCCACACCCTCCCTGGGCCTGTTAATGCACAGAAAACTGACCCTGGATCCGAGGTTTGGCAAATCTCTGATGCCAGAGGTGCCAAAGGAAAACCTGGGGCAGTTCTAACAGTGCAAAGCTCTGCTTTGGGAGGGAAATGCCAATTTTTTTCCCCACGTGGATAATGCTGGGAGCCCAGGAAGAGCCAACACAAATACCATTCATCACCTCCATGCCCTGACATCCTCTTACACCTGCCCTGCAATGCAATCATCCCAACCTCCTGTCAGCCAGGAGATCCTCCCAGAGACAGAATTCCATTTCATCACCATTCATTCATTCATTCTTCCCCTGCCCCTGTGAAACCCACACATTCCTCTCAGCCTGGCAGGTTGATTTGAAAACCTCTCCAACAAACCCTTGGCCTGATTCCTCCCGTTCCAGCTCTGCGACGTCCCCCGGGAGTTCCACCCTGAGCTCAGTTCTGAAAACAGAACTGAGGCATAACTACAAAAACTGCGCAGAGAGGACACAAAGCGGCAACTTTGGCCCAAAACCCATCCAAAAAAAAAGCCCAAAAAGAGCAGGAAAATGGGTTTGCAAGCAGAACAGGCAGAGAGGGACATGGAAAATGTGGAACTCTTACGCCTGCCGGGCCTGCTCGATGGGGTGCTGGTTGTCCAGGTAGTTGTAGCGGACGGTGTCCGTGGGGTTCCTGTCGGATGAGCGCCAAGGAGGGAGCTCCTTTTTCCCCCTGCTCGTCCCCAGCCCTGCCACAGAAAGTTTCCTCTCTGGGACGTTGCTTTTTACTGGTTGCACGTCAATAACGACGAACTCGTCCTTGGAAGGAGTCTAATTAGGGAGGTGGAAAGGAGAAAATGAGTTTTAGCCTATGATGAAAATTAGATTGGGTTAAATTTAGGGTTGTAATCATTGGGGATTAACTCAAAATTTTGGTCTGTGTGGGCACCGTTGTGGTCAGTGGCAGAAAGAGGCACCCAAGCCCTATAATCCACATGAGGATGAGCTGAGCTGCTGCTGAGCTGCATCAGCTTCTCTCTATCAGCTACAGAGAGCCTGATTTAAAGCCAGGCTTTGCTTTAAATTAAAGAGCTGAGCTTTGAATTCAGGCCGGGAGGATCCCCAGAAAGATCACGAGGCAGAGGGGCTGGGAGCCAGAGCCCCCAGTTTTCCCAGTGGGGATGAAAATCCTAACCCGTGGAGAGGTGTGATGGCTGGGGAGGCTACCTAGAACAGAGACCAGACAGGGTTAGAGAAATAAAACAAATATTTATTAACAAGGCCTTCCTAGGATGCAACTTGGGCAGTGCAAGGGCCTGGTGAAGGCTGTACCCAAGATGGACAATGGGTCACTGTTGGATTAAGCCCTTTTCTGACCCAAAGATGAGTGTTTTAAAGAGAGAGAGGCATTTTAAAAACTTTTGTTCTATTTGGAGTCTCATGTGAAGGACGAGACAATACAGATGTTATAATTCATGCCATCACAATTAGAAGCCGAGTATTTCTTAATTAAAATACCTTATAAGTGTTTCTTAACCTATCAACTTTTACCACACCATGCTATAAATACCTTAAAACCAATCATCTAAAATGACCCTTTGTGGTTCTAAACTACAGTGCATCTTTCATAGTTTTATTTCTCTAAAGTATCTAGTCTTATTTGTGATGTTATCTTTTGACACTTGTTTCTGGTTCCATTTCTCTCTCAACAGTGTCTGTCCTGTTCCATGGCATTTCTGAGTCAGCATTTCTCATCTCAAAGTGTGCACACAGGTGTGGGAGCCTCTGTCAGGCTTTGAGAATTCTCTACAAATCCATTTCCCAAAGGTCACGAATTTTCACACTTTTATCAATTTTGGGCCATTTGAATATTGGGGGTTGATTATTCAATTACATCTTCAGGTAATGAAGTCACATCCTCCCAGTTTGCTCCCATCCATTTACACTTTTTGGGGCCTGAAGCTACAGTGGTGACCTTGGTTTTTGGGTTGGAAAAGGATTGTTTTGTCCAACTCAGCTGTGAGGAGAACTTGCTAACACTCTGCATTGAGTTAAACGCTGCTGGAGCCCTGACTGCTGAGAATTTTAAAATCTTCTGTGCTGAAAGTCCAACAGAGAACAACAAGACCACAACAAGAAAATTTTAAACTTTCTGTGCTGAAAGACCAACAAGAGAACATTTTATTTGACCTGAGGCCGTGGAGAAAGCTTCCAAAATTGAATGATAGAACTGGGATTGTGGGCATGGAGTTTGAATTGAAGTTTGTGATATCACAAGGTGGAAAACTTGGAGTTTGGGGTTTTAGAATATAGAAATATATAGAAACAAGATGGAGGTTTAGGGTGGTGGCTGATCCTTCTTCTTCTTAATTATTCAATTCCATCTTCAGGTAATGAAGTCACATCCTCCCAGTTTGCTCCCATCCATTTACAATTTTGGGGCCTGAAGCTACAGTGGTGACCTTGGTTTTTGGGTTGGAAAAGGATTGTTTTGTCCAACTCAGCTGTGAGGAGAACTTGCTAACACTCTGTATTCAGTTGAGTTAAATGCTGTTGGAGCCCTGGCTGCTGAGAATTTTAAAATCTTCTGTGCTGAAAGTCCAACAGAGAACAACAAGACCACAACAAGAAAATTTTAAATTTTCTGTGCTGAAAGACCAACAAGAGAACATTTTATTTGACCTGAGGCCATGGAGAAAGCTTCCAAAATTGAATGATAGAATTGGGATTGTGGGTGTGGAGTTTGATTAGGAGTGTGTAATATCACAGGGTGGAAAACTTGGAGTTTGGGGTTTTAGAATATAGAAGTATATAGAAACAAGATGGAGGTTTAGGGTGGTGGCTGATTCTTCTTCTTCTTCTTATTCAATTACATCTTCAGGTAATGAAGTCACATCCTCCCAGTTTGCTCCCATCCATTTACACTTTTTGGGGCCTGAAGCTACAATGTTGACCTTGGTTTTTGGGTTGGAAAAGGATTGTTTTGTCTAATTAAGCTGTGAGGAGAACTTGCTAACACTCTGCATTGAGTTTAACGCTGTTGGAGCCCTGGCTGCTGAGAATTTTAAACTTTCTGTGCTGAAAGACCAACAGGAGAACATTTTATTTGACCTGAGGCCATGGAGAAGGCTTCTAAAATTGAATGATAGAACTGGGATTGTGGCTGTGGAGTTTGATTAGAAGTGTGTAATATCACAGGGTGGAAAAATTAGAGTTTAAGGTTTTAGAATATAGTAATATATATAAACAAGATGGAGGTTTTAGGGTGGTGGCTGGTCCTTCTTCTTCAGGGGTTTGGGTGTGGACAGAAAAGTCCACATTGCAGACTTTGAGTGATTATTGGGTTAAAAGTGAAAATCATTCAAGTGTCATTTCTTAATTGGTCAGTTTAGCCCTAAAGGACCTTGTAGAGAAAGACAGTCAGCCATTTTGTGGTTTGTCAGCAAAACACTACAGAGCTCACTGCTTGTGAGGCTGCAACACAGACGATAGAAAATAAACATTTGAGTCTGAGCACGAAATGAAATCTGCAGCGCTTCCACCCCAGCCTTGGCAGAGGCAGAGGAAAGGAGTCACAGGATGGACACTGAAGCACTCACAGGACACCAAACCAGCACAGAAAGTGGAAGTTTGGAGGCTGAGGCTGACGGCAGCGGTACCTTGGGCCGGGTGAGGCGCAGCTCCCTCACCATCTGGATGTAGTGGTTTTTCCAGACTCCCTGCTCCAAGGGCGTGGGGCAGAAGTCGAGGAGCCACCCGAAACGCAGGCACTTCAGCATCCACAGCTGGTCCAGCTCTGACAGGTACTTCCAGTGCCAGCTCACCTGTGAATGAATTCCCAGCCACCTGGAAACTTGGGGGTTTAAAGCAACCTAAGATTTTGGATAGAATTCCCACGTAATCTTAAATAAATTGAATTGTTCTGCGCTGTTAATGCTGCATTTAAACCTTTGAGTAAAGCTTTTGGACCTTTCAAGGCCTTCATGATGTGGGACCCTTCCAACTCAAGATATTCTGTGATTCTAAGGAATTTTCTAACCTGTTGTCATGGAAAATTTGAGTTGCATCCACATGAAATGCTAGAGAAAGTTACTAAAGCAAGGCTTAGCCATGCTGAGATTATTATATATTCTTAAATAACACAGAATATTACATTATCACAGTAATAATGTCACTGAAAACTCCCTTATTAATTTAAAACCGCTTTGAGCACACAGCATTTCAGATTTTTGGAGTCTTAATCATTTGGCTCCAGAGCTCATCTGTAATTTTCTGCTTCTCCACATCCAACACTTGACCTTCAGGCATTTTAAAGGATCTGTTTTCCTTACAGGATCAAGTGTTGTTCTTTGCAAAAGCTCAAGCCAATATCTCTCAAAGAATTAAGGGCTCTGCACACAGTGCGAGGTATTTTAGAGGAATGTGATTTTTAGGAAGTTCCAGGCTTCCTTTCTGGGAATAATCAGCCTTGAAAATGCCACTTTTAAAATACTTTAGAACTGAGCATTTAAAATTACTCATCATTTCTGTGAATCTTGGCCAATCTGGCTTAATTTAGGATCCGAGGAACGAGCATCACTAAGCATTCACCTAAACCTTCACCAAAAATCAGTGTTTTCCTTTTTTTTTGTTGTTGTTTTTTTTAACTGCTTTGTCCTGGCTTTCTGAAGCCCAGGCAGGTGCTGACTTTTTTTTTTTTACCTGTGCACATCGACAGAGGCTCCGTGGATCCAGGAAGGAGAAGATGTACAAGGACAGGACTCGAGGGAGCCTCGTGGTGAAATCGACGGCCTCGGTGGGGACTCGGGCCTGGAGCTGCTTGGCACAGAATTTCTGCTGGGACAGGGAGCAGCGTTCCAGCAGGTCCACCAGGATCCTCCTCCTCTGGCCATCTGTCCACTTGTCAAACTGAAGGGGGAAAAAAAAATTTAGGAGTTTCAGATGCAGGGAAACCAGAAATTCAGCTTCTTAAAATAAAATGAGGTGAGGGAAAGCACAGGAGCAGCAGCTTCTGGTGACTCACTCTGAGGGAACAGAGCGCTGGGAACAAAGTGGAGAGGCTACATGAAAAGAAACTAAAGCCACAGAATGATTAATAATCCTCAAAGGATCCAGGATGGCCTAGGTCAGGATTAATTCAGGCTCCTGGGACCAGCTCAGGAGCCTTGGCTTCCCTCATGGAAAGGACAAGATTCAGATGGGTTTTTACTCATCTGAGCAGGCCCCCATGATGAATTCATTGCTGATTCCTTCTCTGACACTTTCTAATCCTGAAAGGATCCAGGACGGCCTAGGCCAGGACTCACTCATGCTCCTGGGACCAGCTCTGAGACTTGGCTTCCCTCACAGAAAGGAGGAGACTCAGATGGATTTTTACCCATCTGAGCAGGCCCCAGTGATGAATTCATCTCTGATTCCTTCTCTGACACTTTCTAATCCTGAAAGGATCCAGGACAGCCTAGGCCAGGACTCACTCATGCTCCTGGGACCAACTCTGGGACTTGGCTTCCCTCATGGAAAGGAGGAAACAGAAGGGTTTTTACTGGAGCAGGCCCCAGTGATGAATTCATTGCTGATTCCTTCTCTGACACTTTCTAATCCTCAAAGGATTCAGGACAGCATAGGCCAGGACTAACTCATGTTCCTGGGACCAACTCTGGGACTCGGCTTCCCTCACAGAAAGGAGGAAACAGAAGGGTTTTTATCCATCTGAGCAGGCCCCAATGATGAATTCATCTCTGATTCCTTCTCTGACACTTTCTAATCCTCAAAGGATTCAGGACAGCATAGGCCAGGACTAACTCATGTTCCTGGGACCAGCTTCCCTGAGGGAAAGAAGGAGACTCAGATGGGTTTTTACCCATTTGAACAGGCCTCAATAATGAATTAATCTCTGATTCCTTCTCCCCTGATGCTTTCTAATCCTCAAAGGATCGGCCTAGGCCAGGACCAACTCATTCTCCTGGGACCCACTCTGAGCCTTGGTTTCCCTCATGGAAAGGAGGAGACTCAGATGGGTTTTTACAGGAGCAGGCCCCAGTGATGAATCCATTGCTGATTCCTTCTCCCCTGACACTTCCCCAGCCCCCAGTGCTGCAATCTCAGAGCACCTCACAATTTGTGAAGTATTTTTCCCTCACAATCCCCCCCCACGGGCTACGAGGAGCGGCGCTGAGGGAAACCAAACGAGGGAAAAATCCCCAATGGCAGCAGAGTCACAAAGATTTTTCCACAGCTGATGACAGGTACCTAAAGAGGAGGATTGAATCCTCAGGGATTGCATCTGTGTGGGAGGAATTCAGGGAAGCTTTGCAGAGCTGGACAAACAGGGTGGGAATGACACAAGGACCTGTCAGCAGCCATCTCCTGGGAGGAGGTGACCTCAGCCCCACAAATGGCTCAAATTGTCCCCACAAATGGCTCAAATTGTCCCCACAAATGCCTCAAATGGCTCCAATCTGGCTCCAAACCTGCAGCCCCGGTTGCACAGGGAGGAACAGCCCTGGGATGGGTGGTGGCCATGGGCAGGAGCAGCAGGAATTCCCAGTGGGAAGAGTGGGATGGATTTTGTTTCATCCTGTCTTACCAGAGTGTGTGTAGACGGGACAAGGGGAAGTGTGGAAATTTTTTTTATTCTTTTTTTTTTCTTTTCTTTTTTTTTTTTGTTTTTTTGTTGGTTTTTTGTTAGTTTGTTTGTTTTTTTTTTTGTTAAGGTCAGGATTAAATGTAGTGAGATGGCATTTCTTGTTTGGACTCAGATCTTTACTAGTTCTTATTTACATTAAAGTCTCACAAACTGGGAGTTCCACAGCACTACATTTTAACAAACTAAAAATGGAGTTGTAGATCTCTCTCTACAAGGCTTTTTAAGGTTAAACTGTTTAATTAAGAAATTATGCTTAAATTATTTTTACTTTTAACTTAATAACTAACTACTTGTGGCGTGCAATGCAGTTTTTTATCTAATTACACAATACCAACCAAACCCATGAAGAAGAAGGATTAGTTTCCACCCTAAAACCTCTATTTAGCTTTCTATATATTACTATATTCTAAAACTTTAAATTATAAGTTTTCTACCATGTGATATCACACACTTTTATTCAAACTCCACACCCATAATCCCAGTTCTATCATTTAATTTTGGAAGCTTTCTCCACGGCCTAAGGACAAATGCAGTGCTCTTCTGGGGGTCAGCGGCTTTCAGCACAGAAAATCTAAAATTCTCAGCATCCAAAGTTCCAACATTGAAGGGTTTTAAACTCAAAGAGGAAAGGTTTAGGTGGGGTATTAGAGAGAAATCCTTCCCTGTAGGGTGGGGAGGCCCTGGAATGGAATTCCCAGAGAAGCTGTGGCTGCCCCTGGATCCCTGGAATGTCCAAGGCCAGGCTGGAGCTGCCTGGGATCGTGGAAGGAGTCCCTGACATGAGAGGGGATGGAATGGGATGAGCTCTCAGTCCTTTGTTAAATGTGACCTCCAAAAATTAAATATAAATCTATAAATACATATATAAATACAAATATAAAAATAAAATAAAAATAAAAATAAAAATAAATATAAATATAAATATAAATATAATGTAAATATAAATATAAATATAAATATAAAATAAGTATAAATATAAGAATAACTATAACTATAGATATAGCTAGAAATAGAACTAGAAACTTACTATTTTGAAAAATAAGAAAAAAAGTTCTCCCAATGTTTTTTTCTTATTATTATTATGGGTAAATAAATAGTTTAATGTCCAGTGTCCCTTCTTTTCCCTGTCAGAATGAAATTAGGAACAGAATTCGAAATGCAGATTTTTTTTTCCTCTGCTTCCTCCCCAGCCCAAATCTAGGCTGAAATGGAGGACTGGCAGAGTAATAGTTTAAAATGTACTGTGCAGATGAAGGTAATTGAGAAACATTTTCTTTCCTTATCATTTTTGAAGAACTCATTTATTTATTTATTTATTTATTTATTTATTTATTTATTTTCCCTTGGATGAATTCCAGTGCTGGAGAACAAACTCCAGGAAGGAAATTGCTCTTCTCCTTCTCACCCAACACCTCTGCAAGACCTTCAAGAAGGTCAGGGTGAAGAGAGTGTGGGATTGGCATTCCTGACATTCTGGAGAGATGAAAAGCCAAATAGGGAATGTGATGGTGTTCACATGAGGGAAGAGATGAGAATGTTGACTCCATGTTTCAGAAAGCTTAAAATATATATTATTTTATAATATATATTATATTAAAAGTATACTAAAAGAATAAAAGAAAAGGTTTCATCAAAAAGCTAGCTAAAAATAAAAAAAAATTAAAAATAATAAAAATAATAAAAAATATTTTAAAAAACCCCAAACGTTTGTGGCTGACTGAGACAGTCCAGACAGCTGGACTGTGATTGGCCATTAATTAAAAACAACCACATGGACCAATCACAGATCCACCTGTTGCATTCCACAGCAACAAATAATTATTATTTACATTTTGTTCTTGAGGCTTCTCAGCTTCTCAAGAGAAAAAAATCTTAAAAAAAAATATTTTTCAAAAAATATCATAACTGCAAGAAAAAAGCTCCCTGTCTTTTCAGAGAGGGAATTCAGGAATATTCCCTTTTTTTAAATTCCTGTTTTTCATAGAACTTTCAATTCTAATGATGCTTCTTAGCAGGGTGTGAAGGGAAAACTGAAGGAGAACCTGGGGATTTAGGATTGAGAAATGTTCCCCGGGAATAAAATCAAAGATGTCCCAGAGGGGGACAGAGGAGGTTCTGCCTGTCCCCTGCTCACCCTTGGCTTGAAACAAAAGGTTTGAAACCCCTCGGAATTGAAGATTTTCTCTGTCACACGAAGGGGCAAAACTTCTGCTCCCCACCCCTGATCCCATCCCCATCCCCTGCTCATTAAAACAATCCCTGATCAATAATTTGCACTGAGAAATTTCTGTGTGAGCTCTGGCGAGGAGGGAGCAGCCGGCTCGGTCTGTTCCACACCGAGAGATGAAGTGAACCGGTCAAAACAAATCCAGCTTCACTTCCCAGCCGAGGGCAGAGCTGCTCCTGATTAACCCTTCCCACCCTGCCAGGGTGGGGATTAATTCCTTCCATCAGCCTCAGCCTGCCTTTAAATTCCATTTAAACCATTTAAACCAGTGCCACAGCACTGGGTAATTTTATTATTATTATGGGTAAATTTGCAGTTTATATGTATATAAATACATATAATATATTTATTATTATGGGTAAATATATAGTTTCATGTCCAGTGTCCCTTCTTTTCTCCATAGGAATGAAATCAGGAACAGAATTAATTCCTTCCATCATCCTCAGCCTGCCTTTAAATTCCATTTAAACCGGTGCCACAGCACTGGGTATTTTATTATTATGGGTAAATTTGTAGTTTATATATATTTAAAAATATATAATATATTTATTATTATGGGTAAATATATAGTTTCATGTCCAGTGTCCCTTCTTTTCCCCATCAGAATGAAATCAGGAACAGAATTAATTCCTTCCATCAGCCTCAGCCTGCCTTTAAATTCCATTTAAATCATTGCCACAGCACTGGATAATTATTATTATTATCGGTAAATGTGTAGTTTATATATATTAAAAAATATATAATATATTTATTATTATGGGTAAATATATAGTTTCATGGGTATTTTTATTATTATGGGTAAATTTGTAGTGTATATATATTAAAAAATATGTAATATATTTATTATTATGGGTAAATATATAGTTTCATGTCCAATGTCCCTTCTTTTCCTGTCAGAATGAAATTAGGAACAGAATTAATTCCTTCCATCAGCCTCAGCCTGCCTTTAAATTCCATTTAAACCAGTGCCACAGCACTGGGTATTTTTATTATTATTATGGGTAAATGTGTAATTTATATATATTAAAAATATAT